GATTTAATGAGTTTCTATAGTGGTATGCTGTGAATCCTTTCTCTTTACCTTTTGTGTGTCTGTTGTAGGCTCTACATTTGTGTCTACCATGAGACGCACATAAGTCTTGCAGGTTGGCCTTCAAGGAAATTCTCTCTTTATTGCAAGCACAATCCCAAAGGCACTGGACAGCTTCCTCACTACTGTCTCACTGGTGGTTCTAGTATTGCTACCAGCAAACATGTTCACTCCCTGGGCAGTAAGGGCAAAGGACAGTAACTAGGGCTGCTGGGACCATGGTCCTTCACCTTGGAGTGAACCTAGGTCACTTCCTCAAATGCAGCTTTAGTGAATTTCCACTGGGCCAACAGTCTTTTACAGAGGGGTGCTGACAGCATAACAATTTTAACAGTCTAAGACTGTTATCAATTGAGAAGGAAAAAGAGAGCAAACTTATCCATCCTCTATCTTTTATTCTCCAAAACTGGCTGGGGTGAGGAGGGGAGACCTTAAACCCTAGAATGAGGGACTGGGATGGCAAAGGGAAGGCATATGAAAGCAAAAGCACTGGACATAAAGAACGATCAGGCAAAAGAAGCCAGTAGAGGAGGAGCCACTGGACAGATGGGACCACATGGGAGCCAGTGACCCACCATGTCTTCTTGGAGCCATCCACTCAGCTCTGGGGAAGTAAGTGTGGCACCAAGGCCTAAAGGTGGTGGGGCCATGGGGAGAACATCACTGAAGCACTCCAATGATTAACAGTTTCTCCCCATGCCCGCTGATGAGGATGGGGGCCTCTTGCAATAGTGTTCCATCACCTGTCCATGGTGTGAAACTGCCACTGCCAAATGAAGTAGACATTCTTCTCAAGCTCCATCTTGAAATGCTTGTTTTTTCCTGATGCTTTTAGAGGCACAGAAAGTCAATGGGCCAGGATACAGTGTCTCTAATGAAAAAGTCACCCTCTGACACTGCTCATCGAGGATGCCACCCAACCTGGTGCCACGTTGTTCCCTTAGTGACAATTTCTGCCTATGAAACACCCACTGCCCCTTGCCTATTGTAGCTTATCTGTGGGGCATGCAACAGGGACATAGTAGGCCCATATGTGAGGACCACCACATAGTTTGAGAGGACAACATCAACCTTTTTTGCATTTCCACCACTCCTGTTCATAGTCTATTTTATGACCTCCATGGTGTCTCCCTTCTCAAAGTCGAACTTCTTGGTGATTGAGCTGCAAGTGTTCAGTTTCTAGACCACATGTAGAATGCAGGTTACCTGGCCATAGCTCAGTGATGAGCTCTTCAGCAAGCTCAAGAAGCTGGGGAACTTGGGACCAACTCGTCCACCTCTTTAAAGATATGGTTAGAGGAAACTGCCCATTGTATAATAGATGTCACGTCAGCAGAGGTCTCTGCTTCTCTATTACAGTGGCGTTCCACCCCTTCAGCAGAAATAATTCTCAGTCACATAGGTGAACTTGACAGAGACGTGGATGTTGACACTGTAGATGCTTTGGGCACCGCTCCTATTAACAGGGCACTGAGGGACCATGCTGGGTGTAAGAGACATGTTGCATGTGTTGATTTTCCTTTTGGCCTTGCTAAGCCCTCATGTATCCTTCAGGTTCTTCATGAAGGAGCCCTTTTCTTTAGCTGTTCTTCCTCTCCATAGATGGGTGGCACATATCCTGTCTGGTTGGCTGCTTCTGCACCCGCCACCATGTCTTGGTGTCATTTAGCATCCACATGCACTGGCTCTTCTTAATGTCAAGTTCCTGGACCTGGTGGCTATAATAGTGACTTCTTTTGCCATGTTTCATGAGTTCATCTTTGGACTCAGTTAGGAGAGGTGACTGACAAAACACAACTCCTCAAAGGTGAATTTTTTAGCTGATTGCACTCTGAATTTACAAAGCTGCAAGTATTTCCCAAATTCCCAAATCCCACTCAAATCTCGGCAGAGAATTGTGATCTGGGAAATCACTTGTAGAAAAGGAACATAAACTCTGAACTATCTAAAGCAGGCCGACTCCACACTGTTCTCCCTTGGTACCTGAAGCTGTTACAGTGCTAGAGCCAGGTGCCTGATCATCTTCAAAATAAGAGATTTATTTATTCAAAATACTTACTGAACACCTACTATGTCCTAGGTGTTCACAAGGCCCCATAGTCACAAGGGTTCTGCACTTGTTTTCATGTTCTGCTCTTTTGTTGTCTTAAATTTCTTAATTTTTGAACAAGGGATCTTGTTCAAAAATTTTGTGCTAGATACCAGGCTATAGCAGGAAACAACAAAGACATCATTTGCTTTCCCACATCTTTTATAGAAAAAGTAAAAACATTATATAATTAACAAAACTTTATTAGTTATATAGTAAGAAAGTATAGAGAAATATTGTGAATATTGACAGTGTTTGGAAGAGCTATTGTGTTGTTTAGAAAAGAGTGAAACAAAATGATAGTGGACATATATACTTTCTATTTTTTTCCACTGCTTCACTCTTGCTCTGATGAGAGTTGAAACCCAGTAATTTTGTGGTCTATCCCCTCAATTCTGCTGACCGTTATCTTGCAATACTTAATATACTCAAGAGTGCCACAAGCCAGAACCACATTTGTTGTTTTTCTGTCCTTACCTTAGCAATTCTTATTCACAGTGCTTGATCTTGCGGTAAAACAAGGTTGTAATCTGGGATTGCAGCTTTGATAATGTTCAAAAGATGAGTTAAGAGAGAGTGCTGCTGGGACTGGATTGGCTCAATGGTTAGAGCGTCGGCTTGGGGACTGGAAGGTCCTGGGTTCGATTCCGGTCAAGGGCATGTACCTTGGTTGCGGGCATATCCCCCATAGGGGGTGTGCAAGAGGCAGCTGATCGATGACTCTCTCTCATCGATGTTTCTGACTATCTCCCTTCCTCTCTGTACAAAATCAATAAAATATATATAAAAAAATAAAAAAGAGAGAGTGCTATCATTAGTTCTTGTCATGTGAAGTTAAAAACTACCTTGTTCAGGGGAAACTCTCTTATATCTGAATTCAGCTTTTTAAGCAATTAGCTATTTCATAGTATGTCAGTTTTTTTTCAGGTTCTTAAGGGAAAAAAGATACTCTCAACACAGATCATGGCTGTTTACTGTAGTAATAAATAAGAAAAGAAGCAAAGGAAATCTAAGGGTTTTCCTAATAAGATTTTTTATAAAGGGTTTTAAAATCTCATGGCTTCCTGGTGCCTTGGATTAGTACTGAAGGCACAGTACCCCTTCCAGAGAATGCTGACTTAGTGATTCAATTCTTTATTTCTTTCTAAAGCTGTTCAACTCTATTGCTCAACTCAATTGCCTCTATTGATCAGTGGTTGGAGCATCACCCATGCATGAAAGGGTCTCAGTTTGATTTCTGATCAGAGCACATACCCAGGTTTGGGGTTTGACCCTCCATTAGGGTGCATACATGAGGCAATCGATCTGATGTTTCTCTTTCACACTGATGTTACTCCCTCTCCCTCTCTCTCTCTCTCCTTTCCTCTTTCTCTAAAATCAATAAAAACATGTTCTCACTGTAGCTGGATTGGCTCACTGGATAGAACATCAGCCTGTGAACTGAAGGGTCCCAGGTTTGATTCCTGTCAAGGGCACATACCCAGGTTGCAGCTCAATCCCCAGTAGGGGGTGTGCAGGAGGCACCAATCAATTATTTTCTCTCATCATTGATGTTATCTTTATATCCTTCTCCCTTCCTCTCTTAAATCAATAAAAATATATTTTTAAAAAACAATCATATTCTCAGTGAGGATTGATTAATTAATTAATTAATTAATTAATTAATTAAACTGTTTACCTTATAACATGCATTTTCACATCTATAAAAGGGTAATATGCTAATTAGATCAGGAGACCTTCCAGATATCCTCCTGGACAAAGCCATGGTGGCAGGGCCATGCAGAGGCAGTTAAGAGTGAACAGGCCAGCAGGGTAGGGCACTTGGAGGCAAGCAGGCTGGCAAAGGGGGCAGTTGGGGGCAACCAGGCCAGCAGAGGGAATATGTAGGAGCGATCAGGCCAGTAGGGAGGCCAGTTGGGGATGAGTAGGCTGGCAGGGGGATGCAGGGCAGTTGGGAGAAAACAGGCAAGCAGGGGGGGGTGGAGTTTGGAGCGAGCAGGCTGGTGGAGGGGAGCATTTGGGGGTGATCAGGCCAGAGTGGTTAGGGGCGATCAGGCAGGCAGGCAGATGAGCGGTTAGGAGCCAGCAGTCCTGGATTGCGAGAGGGATGTCCAACTGACTGTTTAGGCCTAAACCAACAGATGGATATCCCCTAAGGGGTCCCAGATTGGAGGGGATGCAAGCCGGGCTGAGGGACACTCCTTCTTCCCAACTCCCCATGCACGAATTTTGTGTACCAGACCAATAACCCATTGTATACTCCAAAAACCTTCCAAGCCCATTATTACTGTCTTGCTGAGAGTAACTCCACTCCCTTCACCAGCCTCCAGGATTTGCTCCAGCCTGATAACCCATTCAACCCACCCTACTGCATGTGATTAAATTGAGGAAACAGAGAGAGTACTGTCAGGAACCAAGAGTATCTGCTTCACCATCCATTATAACCTTCATTCCACCACTTACAATTCACAAATGAAAAAACTGATGCTCATTGAGGGTAATATGGAATTAATGAGGACAGACAGTTATGTTTCTTTTGTACACTTTTTATCCCCAGCCTCTAGATCAATGACGGTCAGTGTAAATCCTTCATTAATATTTAAGAATGAAGGAATGTCACACAGCCAGAATGATTTGTCCAAATCAAGACTTGAGCTGGAATCTTCTCCCCAAAAGCTCATATTTCCTCCAGTGTCATGGCAAGAGTGTACCCTTATCAGCAGCCAGCACGGGTTGTGGCTTGCAATAGGTACAGAAGACAGTGTTGAGTGAATAGATGGAGAAACAAATGAACAAATTTATTCTGTACCTCTATGTTCCATCTTTCTCTTTCTTAATTAGGAATCACAGGAAAATTCCAGATGCAAAGGAGAGAGAGGCCCCACCTCACACAGTCATGGAAAAATGAGGATTTCCACCAAAAATTCACAGAGCTGCTACTTCTACAGAGATCTCAACCCAGAGGCTATGACTTCCTGCTCAGGAGAAAGATAAATCAAGAGATAGTAGAAGAACAAGGACATTTGATGGAGGTTGGAGACTTATTTGACCCAGGCCTGAGTATCCAGGAGGAGCCTCCCATTGTCATACTGCATGGGGTTGCTGGAATCGGGAAGTCAACCATGGCCAGGCAGGTGAGGAGAGCCTGGGAGGAAGGCTGGCTCTTCAGGGACCGCTTCAAGCATGTCTTCTACTTCAACTGCAGAGAGCTGGCCCAGTCTGAGACAATGATTCTCGCTGAGCTCATCACAACAGACTGGGCTGCTCCTGATGCTCCTCCCATTGGGCAGATCCTGTCTCAGCCAGAGCAGCTGCTCTTCATTCTTGATAACTTAGATGAACCAAAATGGGACTTGAAGGAGCAGAGTTCTGAGCTCTGTCCACACTGGAGGCAGCAGCAGCAGGTTCACACACTGCTGGGCAGTTTGCTGAAGAAAATCATACTTCCCAATGCTTCCCTGCTTATCACAGCTCGGAGCACAGCTCTGAGAAAACTCATTCCTTCCTTAAAGCAACCATGCTGGGTGGAGGTCCTGGGATTCTCTGAGTCCACCAGAAAGGAATATTTCTACAAATATTTCACAGATGAGAGCCAAGCAATTAGAGCCTTCACCTTGGTTGAATCCAACCCGGCTCTCCTGACCATGTGTCTTGTGCCCTTGGTGTCCTGGCTGGTCTGCACTTGCCTGAAGCAGCAGATGGAGCAGGAGCAACCACTCTCACTGACCTCCCAGACCACCACAGCCCTCTGTCTCCACTACTTTTTCCATGTTCTCCCAGCTAAGTCTCTCAGGATTATGCTGAGGGACTTTTGCTCTCTAGCTGCTCAAGGCACCTGGCAAGGAAAAACTCTGTTCAGCCCTGGGGACTTCAGGAAATATGGGTTAGATGGGGCCAACATCTCCACTCTCTTAAACATGGGTGTTCTTCAAGAGCACTCCACCCCTCAGAACTACAGTTTTGTTCACCTGTGCTTCCAGGAGTTCTTTACAGCAATGTCCTGTGCTTTAGGAGATGAGGAGGTGACAAGCATCAGAAGTATGAGAGAGTTATTAGAAGAATGTGAGTTGGATTACCTGTTTGGGGAACCAACCACATGTTTCTTATTTGGCCTTTTGAGTGACCAGGGGATAAGAGAGATGGAGATCATCTTCAAATGCACACTGCCTCTGGGGAGTCATCGTAAACTGCTGTGGTGGGCCAAGAGAGAGGTCACCTTAAAACATCCAAACCTAGAGCCATATTATTGGCACTTGCTGCACTGTTTTTATGAGATTCAGGACAAAAGGTTTCTAAGAAAACTGATGCCCAGTATCCATGGATTGAAAATATGTGTCCAAACCAACATGGAGCTTCTGATGTTCACTTTCTTTTTTAAATTCTGCCATCATGTGAAGAGTCTTCAACTGAATGAGGGTGGACAGCACAGACAAACAAGAATGGACACCAATGTCATTCTGTGAGTGCTCCCCTTTCCCCTCTCTCCAGCTCCTCTGTTGGTATCCTGGGCACTGGGGGCACTCTCACTAAGCCTGGCCCCAGAAGCTAAAGGATTGATGTGATCAGTGACTTCTAACAGCCAAATCTGACCCCCATTCTCTGTCTCCCTAGGATCCTCTGCAGCAGTATCTGACCATGTGACCTTTCCCACTTGCTTCTGGACAGCCTGCTGTGGCTCTGCCATGCTCAGCTAGCTGCTTCTCTTCCTGTTTCTGTCACAATGGCCACCTTCTCTCCTGGGTGTACTTCCAGCCCATGCTGAAGTCAACTGCCATCCACCCAGCCCACCTGCCTATGTTTCTCCTTCTTTACATGCTTCTCTTCAAACAGCTGGTCACTTAGCTGCTTCAGGCACCCCTTTAATGACTGTTGACTACGATATTGGCCTTAGGATCTCCCCCATCACTAAAACAAAGCAAGAGCATTTGCAATGGATGGTGGCACATGGAGTCAGGAGAGACTCATGGGAAAGTCAGAGGCTGCAGGTACTGTGGGCAGGATTATTTTAAAGGCATTGAGTCATCCAGGCAAGGCAGACAGAATAGTAAGGAAGATAGTATAAATAAATAAACAAAGAAGTCCAGGAAGAAATTATGATGATTGGACCAAGGGAGGGAGAGTAGCACCAATGAGATAGTAAGAATGTGCAGCTATAGGTGTTTGATTTTTTTATTAAGCATTTTGCATTTGCATTGAGCCTCATCAGTTGGGCTGATAACAAATTTTTAATTTTTTCTTTTAACCCCTCTGATTAAAGATTAAACTTAGCAAATGTTCAATAGGACACATACTAGTAGTTTAAAGATATATAATTCAAATTACCCAAAACTAAATAAATGTTTTAAAAAACAAAAAATTAAAATTTCAAATACTATGTTTTTGGTACCTTTGAAGCATATAAATGTCTTAGAGCTATTAATGCTAACACTATATTAAGATTTCTGGGATTCTCTATAACACCTTTGCATCCTCACAAAACCTTCTACAGTATGAACTCTTGTCACCTCTTGCAGCAAGGAGACTGAGTGAGGCATAGATAAGTGAAACTCACCTGCTGACCATAGAGCCTCTGCTCCTCACCTCTGTATGGCTCTGCAGACATGGGGCAGGGGGAAGATACATGGGGTTGGGGTCATATTGGATGGTCAAAGTAGATTTATCTGGCAGGAAAATAGAGATGCCAGTTTGCAACTTGAATTAGAGTTTGCATCAATGAACCAGGGTATTAGATAAAATCACTTAAATGGTATGCGAAAATGTAGAATTTCAATTGGTGGAAATTACACAAGACAGTCTATCCTATAACTTTTATCATCCTCTCCCCACATCCTGCAAATGTTCTCTCCTGAGATATTCCCCTGTGACATCTCTCTCCTGCAGACACTCTCTGTACTCTTGCTATCCAGTGAAGGGGATAGGGTCCCACACAAGCCAACCTGGTCAGCAGTATACATAGTCATAATCAACAATTCCATTACAAAATTATCCTTTACTTTCTGGAAACTGGGACTTTATAATATCTGTGCCAAAGAAAGAAAGGCATGTCTGCATTTATGAGAAGAAGACTGTGTGCCTCCCCAAGCTCTATGCCAGCCCCTGTGCCTGGCATTTCAGATAAAAAAGATGAACCTCTACCTCTGCTCACAAGTAACTCCAAAACTGAGGCAAAAACAGACACCCAAATGAGCACTACAGTGCAGTATGGCAAGGTCGGCACAGTGAGAAGCCACATGGAAGTGGGGCACTTAGCCCAGAGTTGTGGGAGTTGTCAGGATGTCAGGGAGATTGATTGACCCTGGTGATAGCCCCGCCCATTTCAGCCTGACATTCAGGGGTGCCAAACCCCAATGTGTTGTGCAGGGATGTATGTACACATGAGACCCCCACACACACACACGCACACACTGGTCACATCTCCCTTGTGCCTCTCTCTCTCCCTCAGGTACAGCTGGGGCCCGTTTACAGATTCCTGGTGGCAGACGTTCTTCTCCATTCTCAAAGTCCCTGGAAGCCTGCAGGAGCTGGACCTGAGTGGGAACTCTCTGAGCTGCTCTGCAGTACAGAGTCTTTGTGTCGCCCTGAAAAGCGCTCACTGTCACCTGGAGACCTTAAGGTGAGTCTGGCCTGGGTTCTGATCTGAAACAAGGATGAGCAGGAAACCCAGGAGAGAAGTTGTTCCTAGGATGGGTATGTGGTCTTTGTATTTAACAAATATCCATTGAACTCCTTCCTGACCATGCTCTGTGCCAAGAACCATGGTTACTACAGTAGGCAAACACAGGGTTCTATTCCACACAATTTGCAAGTGATTGGCTTTAACCACACAAACAAATGTGTGATTACAGGCCCAGATAGGAACCTTCAGTGGTAACCTACCTTAAGAAAGTGAATATTGAGGGGGTCTCAAGATGGTGGCAAGTAGGTGAGTCTTTTTTTACCTCCTCCCAGAATAAACTGAAAATAAAACTGAATTGGAGAATATTCACCCTGAATTACCAACTGAAGACTAGTCTTTAGAGTTTTCTATGTACAATATCTTATCATCTGTGAATAATGAGAGTTTTGCTTCCTCCTTTCCAATATGGATGCCTTTTATTTCTTCTTCTTGTCTGATTGCTATGGCTAGGACTTCCAGTACAATGGTGAATAAGCTTGGAGAAAGCACACATCCCTGTCTTGTTCCTGTTCTTAGGGGAAATGGTTGTAGTTTTTGCCTATTGAATATGATGCTTGCTGTATGTTTGTCATATATGGCCTTTATTATGTTGAGATATGATCCCTCTATTCCCACTTTGCTGAGAGTTTTTACCAAAAATGAGTGTTGGATTTTGTAGAATTTTTTTTATGCATCTATTGGTATGATCTTGTGATTTTTGTCTTTTTTCAGTTTGTTTATGTGATGTATCACGTTGATTTGTGAATACTGTACCAGCCTTGCATCCCTGGAATAAATCCCACTTGATCATCGTATATGATCTTTATAATATATTTCTGGATCCAATTTGCTAATATTTTGTTGAGGATTTTGGCATCTATGTTCATCAGGGATATTGGCCATGTCCAATATCTTTGTAGTGCCTTTATCTGATTTTGGAATTAGGATAATGTTGATCTCACAGAAAGAGTTTGGAGGTGTTCCTTCCTTTTGTTTTTTGTTTTGTTTTGTTTTTTGTGGTTTGAGGAGTATAGGTGTTAGTTCTTATAATATTTGGTAAAACCTCCTGTGAAGCCTTCTGGACCAGGGCTTTTTTTTTTTTTGTGTGGGAGTTTTTAAATTACTGCTTCTATTTCATCAATTGCTATTGATCTATTCAGGTTTCCTAATTCTTCCTGATTCAGTATTGGGAGATTGTATTTTGGGGAATTTTTCTGTTTTATTCTCATTGTCCAGCTTGTTGGCATATCATTGTTCATAGTATTTTCTTACAATCCTTTGTATTTCTGTGGTGTCAGTTGTTACTTCTCTGCTTTTGTTTCTGATTTATTTATTTGGGCCCTATCTCTTTGTTTCTTGATGAGTCTGGCTAGGGAGTTATTAACCTTGTTCATCTTTTCTAAGTACCATCACTTGGTTTCATTGATTTTTTTGGTATGATTTTTTTAGTCTCTATGTCATTTATTTCTGCTCTAATCTTTATTATTTCCCTCCTACTACTTATTATGAGTTTTTCTTGTTCTTCTATTTACAATTCTTTAATTTTTATGGTTAAATAGTTTATTATTAATTTTTCTTGTTTTCTGAAGTGTTATGAAGTTCCTTCTAAGGACTGCTTTTGCTGTCTTCCAGAGATTTGGGTTTGTTGTATGTTCATTTTCATTTGTTTCCAGGAAGCTTTTTATTTGTTTCCTGATCTCATTGGCAACCCATTAATTGTTTGATAACATGCTATTTAATCTCTAGGTGTTTGAATGTTTTTGAATGTTTTCACTGAAGTTGATTTATGATTTCATTTCACTGTGATCTGAGAAGATGCTTGATATGATTTCAATCTTCTTGAACTTGTAGAGACTTATTTTGTTTCCTAACATGTGGTTTATCTTTGGGAATGACTCATGTGTACTTGAGAAGAATGTATATTCTACAGCTTTGGGGTAAAATGTTCTATAAATTTCAATTAAATCCATCTGACCCAATGTGTCATGTAGAGTTAGTTTTCTTGTTAATTTTTGCCTAGAAGATCTATCAGTGGGGTGTTGAAGTTGAAAGGGCCTAAATTTGAATATCTGCTGTTAAGAATGATGAAATATACAAGAAGACTAATTGATGGTCTTCCTTTCCTCAGAGGGAGGCAATGGGGGAAAGGCTGGCCTTGGAGGAGTTGAGGAACGCCTCCTACTATAAAAGGAGGGCCAATGAAGAGTCGGCAGAGGGATATTGGCACATAGACCCATAGGCTTGACGTTAGAAAGCTGATTGATTCCCATCTGATGTCTCTACTTTTCCTTGTGAAGTAATAATTCAGTTGTCAACTGAGAAGAATATGAGGATTGGGGTGTTAGAGTCTTAGGGAAGATAAAACATTGAAATGGCCATTGTAGAGTGGGAGATTCTGACTTGCAGCCATTGTTGGATCCCCTCTGAGAGTCACAGTTGCGATTCATAATTGTAGCCATCACCCCTGTTACTCTAGTGGGAGTGAGAGTGGAGGATTGGGAGAATGGCAGATTTTAGAGTTAACTAAAGGGATATGATGGGATGTCAGTGGGTAAGTTATTAAGTCATACCACCAATGACATATCATAAAATCTAAGCTAGATTCCAAGCAAAGTGATAAAAAGAAAGTGGTAAAAGATTGGGAGAAAGAAGGATAAGGGATTTCTCATTGAAGATGGGTCCTCGTGTGATAAATTAACCTAGCAGAGGATGATAATAAATCCAGTCTTTAGGACATCTTGTATCCATGTGATACTTTCCTAAAACCTTTCCAATGAGAACCACCTGATTTTAAGAGGAAAACCCATGAAAACATCTTAGAAATACTGGTTTTACTTTAAAGTTAATATCCCTGGCCAGTTTTTCTCAGTGGTTAGATTGCCAGTCTGAGAACTGAAGGGTCTCATGTTCAATTCTGGTCAAGGGCATGTATCTCCATTGTAGGCGCAATCACCAGTCCCAATCGGGGTGCGTGCAGGACGCAGCCAATAGGTGTATCTGTCTTACATCAATGTTTCTCTCTGTGTGTCCCTCCCCCTCTCTCCCACTCTTGCTAAAAATCAATGGGGAAAAATATCCTCAGGTGAGGATTCACCACCACAACAACAAAATACTAGGTGTGGATCAGGCAGATGTGAAAATTTCCTGGCTAGAAATGTTGATTCTATGAGAAAGAACTCAGATTTATTGCCTTTGAATATGAGAATGTCTAAGACCTTGGATCAAAGTCCTAACAAATAATTGGATTTCTCTTGAAATCGGCTGAATATGCTAAACTCAAGGATTCTGGGTGTTTTCTTTTTCATGAACATGTAGAACTGAGCACAATACATGGACAAAGCAGAAGGAACTAATAAAGGAGAGGTTGGAGAACTGGACAAGGGGATTCCAGAAAGAACAAGGTCAGAGAGGAGGCAGGAGGGTATGGAATCAAAGACCCAGGAGAAAAGAGCCTTGGCTCCGCTGGGACTGAAGGACAAGAGAAGTGCTGCATGAAAACTGAGATGTAAGGCTGTGTGGAAACAGGACAGAGACATAGAACAAAATTAAGGTGCTCGGGTCCCATGGCAGCAGCATCCTTTGAGCACTGTTCTAAGCACAATGATATATTATGTCCTTTGACCTTGGAAACCACCAGGTGCAATAGGCATGGAGAATTCATATTACAGATCAATAAAATTGAATATTAACCTACCTACCAACAGTTTTCAATTAATAACTGGCAGAGGTGAGATTTGGCATAATGTCTGTGTGACATCCAACCAGGAAGAATGTAATAAGGTCGAAATTTTAGTGTCCTGCACCTCATTCAGAGACCTTCCCAGAATCGCATTTCAGGCCCCTTCCAGTAAGTACTTGCCAAGCTTCCATCTTTAGCTCAGGTCCCAAACCCAACATCCTCCACTGGAATGTCACAGAGGCTCCTCAAACTCAGTACATTCTAAACTAGACTTCTCTCCCTATCCAAAGAAAACCTGTTCCTCCTCTCAGGACCAGATAATTTGTAGGATCCAGTACAAAATGAAAATGTAGTGTCCTTGCACAAACATCAGAGAAAAAGTGCTGTTAAAGGTATTTAGATACAAAGCTTTTTTCCCCATCACCCAATCTCTCATTCTTTATTTGCTGTTTAATGTCTCACTCCTTTCAAATGCTGTAGGTGCATGCAAACTCTCTCTGGTGCCTGGGAGCTTTACCCACAGTCAGTGTGACTACAGCCCAATGGATTCCAGGTTTCTCCTGCACTAACCGCCAGACACATGCACTGTGGCCTGGAGTGGGTGGAAAAGTCAATCAAGCCAGACTTCTCCACCCATGGGCCTATTACCCCAAACCACAGTAGTGGAAGACCACCAAAGACCACCATCCAACCCCAAAGCAGATGGGAGACCCATCCCTTGGCAGGATATTTCCATGAAGTGCTAGGTATATGAGTCATAATGGGTGGGATATTTGCCCCTAACAAATCATCAAATATATCATGTTGTTACCCCCTAGCCCTATTCCTATTGATCCTCACCATGCCTGCCAGGGAAGTATATTGTAGGCCCCACAATATCAAGTAACAGGAGAGTGGGTGGCCAAGAACTCTTCACACAAATTAGGGGAGGTGGCAAGGACATGTATGAGACAAAGCTTCATTGTCTCATCAGACTTCCCTTACAAAACATAAATACGAGGATAAAATTATTAAGTAACTGAAGATGGCAATCACAGAGCAGCAATAAACCCAAACAATTGCACTGGTTGTATATCCATGAGGCTGATGTTGCCTACTCTCACACACTATCTCAGTAAGTGGCAGCAGTACCAATTCTGTATTTAATCTAGAAGCCACCCTGGCCCCCACATCTAAAGAGACACTGACTGTGCTGTTGGGTCCACAAAAACATCTCCCACAGGCACTGCTCTGACCTCAGTGTTGGACCACCTGCTTCCCGCTTCACCTCATCCAGCCATCCTCTACTCACTGTTAGGGATCTTTCCAAGCAATGCAAAGAACACATAACTACCCTCCTCAAGAAATTTCACTGCCTCATCACTGCCACCTGAACAAAGTCCAAATGTCTAACAAGCACATTCAAGACCTACCACTATCATGATACTTTCTATCTTAACCCTCAAACTTCATCTCCCCTCATGTAGCCTTTCTACAAATGTCACTAAACTAAACACATGCTTTAAGCTCACAACCACTCTGCCAGCCTCATCTAGGTAAACTACTCACCATTCAGGCACAGCTCATATGTCTGCTCTTCCTTCACTGGTCAAAATTAACCCCTCATTCCTCTGCCTTCAGCTGCACCCAACATGCCCCTCTTCACTCTATTTCATTCACTCACAAACCACATACTTATTAAATTCCTTCCATGTGTGAGATACTGCCCTAGGCACTGGGGAGCACCTAGATATGGAAACTCCTTCCTGATGGAGCATATATCCTGGAGGGAAAAACAAATCAATGATTAAAATATATTGCATGGGATTTGGGTTATAGAGAAAATTAAAGCAGAAAGGAATGGAGCCTGGGGCTGCAATTTTAAATAGAGAAGGTGGTGAGATAAGATTTCATGAGGGTTATTTTTGAGAAAATACCTGAAGCACATGAGAGAACAAGCCATGAGATATCAGATAAGAAGATTGTAACTGACAGAAGAAACAGCAAGTGCAATGGCCCTGAGATGGGACTGTGCCTGGAATATTTAAGGAACAGCAAGTAGGTCAGTGAGGATGCAGATGTTCTACAAGATTAGAACAGAAATGACAAGGAGCCAGGTCTCCAGGGTCCCATAGTCAAAGACGAGGAACTTGAATTTAACTTGAATGACATGGAAACATGAAAGGTTTTTTTATCCCAAGAGCTGTGAAAACTGGTCTATTGATCTTTTTTCCTATGTCAACCCCCAAGTACCTGTGCATTTCTGGGGTTGCTTACTAAAGAGGTGCCCATGGGTGCTCCTGGGCATCTGTGGAATCAACAGGTGAGGAAACTCAAGGCTATCAGTGTTTGTCTCCCACAGGTTGGCCAACTGCGGCCTCACAGCAGAGGGCTGCAAGGCCCTTGCCCGTGTGCTGAGCACCAGCTGGAGCCTGACAGAGCTGGAGCTGAGCTTCAACCAGCTCCTGGACACCGGAGCCCAGCACCTTTTCCAGGAGCTGGAACAGGCCAACTGCAAGTTGCAGCGGCTGCTGTAATTGCTCCTCATTGGCACTACTTTTGGGGGTGGGGGCACAGGGGAGAGGGAGCTGCCCTAAGACCTTGCAACAGAGAGAAGGTGAGAGCTAGACAGGATGGGATTATGGGTTTGGGAGTAGATAGGTGCCCTCGTGTTGAAGCCCACCAGAGCATCCCGTGTCAGCAAACTGGGTTTTTGTCAGGCCCCAAATAGTTAACAGTTAGACCAAGTACACAAGTGGAATGTTGGGTAAATCAATCATACAAAGTTGACGTGGAGAGTGGCATGATTGGTGAGAATCAACACAGGAGTGGGAATGGGAGGTTTCCTGCATCCTAAGTGGCTCCTTGGCTGCAGGATAAAATTTAGATCTCCCAGGTTACTGCAAGCCAGACATATGTTTATCTTCCTTTAATGTCACCAAGGACCCCCAAAGGGCCACAGGTGCTAGAAAGGAAAACCAAGCCTTAGTTACCCTGAGGAGAGGGCCCTCAGGATGAATGTGGACCCATGCAAATCTCTCCCACAGGCTGGTCAGATGTGGACTCACATCTGACTGCTGCCAGGTACTGGCCTCCATGCTGGGTACCAGCCCCAGCCTGACAGAGCTGGACCTGCAGCAGAATGACCTGGGTGACCTTGGTGTAACGCTGCTCTGTGAAGGGCTCAGGCAGCCTGCCTGCCAATTCAGGAACCTGTGGTAAGGCCCTGGGGTCATTTCTGGGCAGAGGGCAGGGAAAGGGATGGAGAGCAATGGAAAGGATTGTGGGGGCCTTGAATTAGAAGTAAAGGGACAGAAAAATGCAACCTATTTCACTACCAGTTCCACCACTTACTTAGGACATTAAAATTGGGTAGGTCTTCATTTGAGGCTCGGTTTGTGTGGTTTTTTAATCTTTGAAATGGAACCATTATATCCACTCCATAGACTGTGTTGAAATAAAATGCCTGTAAACCTAAAAGAGGTCTGGGAGCAGAGTTGTGAGGCTCAAATGATAAACACTGGTGGAGCCACATGTTCTAGGGGACTCTCTCCCAAGTTCATTTTTACATCCAGGGCAGTCCTTTCTTTCTTCAATCATTGCCTCATTCAGTCATTCATTTCAGGCCTCTCATGTGTCAAACACTGGGACAGGCAATGAGGGGACAATAGTGAGCAATAGACAAGGACCCTACCCCCCTTAAGCTTGCACTCCAGTGAGAAGAAGACATATCAACACACAGTTTCTATCTCTGAGCAGTTTGTAAAGGGAAAGTGCACTATGTTATAGGAGTGTAATGGGGGCAGGAAAAAGGGGGGATAGAAATAGACTGAAGGGCAGGGAGGGCCTCTCTGGGGAAGTGACATCAGGCTGAGAGAGGGGCTGACCAGGCCCAGTAGGAGGAGCAGTCCAGGCTGAGAATAGCCTTAGGGGAGAACCCAGGACAAAAAGCAGGCTCAGAGCAATGGAGAGCCGTGTGGCTGGGGTGCAGTGACTCTCAGCCCAAATTTCCCATGCAGTCTCCGGCCACTTCTTGTCACCTTCCCCGCCCCCAGCCAGAAAACAAGTCCACAGCCAGGTTCTGGTTGAACATTTCCCTGCAGCTCCTGGCTGGGGCCTGTCTCACATGCAGAGCTGACAGGGCTCCAAACCTCTGTGTCCTGAACCCTCGGTCTTGTCTAAGGCTCCAGCCGGCTCTCAGCCTTTCCTCTGCCAGTCCTCCTTTCTCAAACCTAAAGCAGCAGGAGGTGAACACTCTACATGCGGGTCCTCCCAGAGCCCACTCTGACCCTTCACAACCAAGGGCACCCCATCCTATAGGGCTACCACCACCCAGACCCCATCCCTCTGAGCATGTGTGGCTGTCACCATCTCCTCTATGTCACCACCTCTCCAGAGCTGGGCCTTTGCAGTAGGACTGCATCCATGCCCTGCTCACCCGTTACTCCTCATTTCTTGGTTACTCCTCGTTTCCTGCCTCAGAGCAGGTTGCCTTGTCATTAGAAAGTTTCTGCCTCTTTCCTTCCTAGGGCCCTGGGACTGGGGTGAGAGTCATTACCGCCCAGGGGAGAACAGCTCTGGCAACAGGAATGAGGAAGGTGTGCGCCATTTACAGATTCAGGGTCTTCACACCTGCCTTCAATGAAAACCCCAGAGCACAGGATGTATGAGAATGGAAACAGGCTCTTTTTTTCCAGGAAACCTCCTAGCCTCTGAGAAGGAAATCCCAGGACCTTCTCCTGTGTGGTCATTTGAGGCCATGGACACTGGCTGTCCTTTGGTGGATGCTGTGAAGTACTGCCCAGTTCCCTTTCTGGAAAGAAGACCCCTACCCTCAGCCCCCAACTCTGGGAGTGCTGCCAGCTACAAGGATGGCCTCTGCCAAATAGGGCCATCTCACACAAGGTCACTGCCCTCCTGTGATGATCTCCATCCAGTGACTGGTGTAGTGGTATAAGGAACCTACTCCTAGTTTGGAACAGCCCTGGAGGGTCATGCTCACATCAGAAGTCCCTCAGAGAGAGCTGTGCCCCTTGGGACTGCATCACAGCCCAACTTGTTCCTCTGTCCAGTCCTGTTTCCTCCCTTCCTTTGCCCTTTTGTTAACCCAACTACATTCCCTAATAAACCTCCCAACTCTTCTTTCCAATTCAAAACCTGACTTTAGAGAACCCAACCTATAACAGGTTCCTGTGGTATGTAAAAGGTTCCATGATTCTGGGCCCTGAATCCCTTGATATCGTGGGAGAATCTCAAGATAACCAGGCTTCCTTTGTGATTGCAGGCTGGACCAGACTCAGCTGAGTGAGGAGGTGACAGAGATGCTGAAGCTTCTGCAGCAGGAGAAGCCTCAGGTGACCATCAACAATGGGTAAGAAGGGAGACACAAAACTCCCTCAAGCTGACCCAGGCCCAGGTTGACTCCTACAGGCTGGTCCAAAAACAAGGACCAGAGTGGGGTGGGGAGAGGATGGAGGCAGAGACAGACAGAACCAGGAAGAAACCAAGAAACCACAGCAGCCAGAGTGAGGATGTTTGTGTGGTTTGTTGTTTTGCTTGCTTCTTTGTTTGGTGCAAACAAAAGTATCTCCCTCCTCTGCTTAAACCCTGTCCATGAGATGAGTAAGGAGAGAACAAATGAAGAAGAGTGAGTGAGTGGGTGAGTGGGTGAGATTTGGAAGATGGAAAGTGATGACCATAGGGGGAGACAAAGAGAAGAGAGAGCTTTGGGGTGGGGGTTTCTCACCCTAATACATATAAACACCCATATACAGAGAAGCTGGAGAGAAGTCTTGGGAATAGGAGAATCTGTTCTTCCTCCTGGGCATCGCTACAGCCCCGTGACCTTTCATGTTGGTGTATTCCTGCCTCTGACTGCAAAGTGCACCTGTGCCTGGTTCTGACAGCTCTGCCTCACCTGACATGGCAGGACAGGGATCTTAGGCTTAGGAGGAGCCATTCCTCAGGGAACAGCCATTCTCCTCAGACACACAATGTGAGCCCAATTCTCAGAAATTAACACAGCAGGGACATAGAACCAGATTACCCCACTCCCACATGTGCCTTTGTGTCTGGGATCAGGGTGAATGCACTGACTGGCCTACTAGACTCTGTCCAAAGAACCTGAGCTAAGTTAGGAAACATGGGAGGGCTTAGCTTGGCAAAGCAGAGGTAGATTCCTGGCAGAGACAGAGATCTGATCTCAGCTCCTTAGAGGAATAAAAGGAGGCCGGGTACTAGGAACATGGGTACTCAAAGTGTAGACCATGGACCAGCAGTGACAGCATCAGCATTACCTGAGAGCTCATTAAAAATGTAAATGTCAGGCTACCCTCCAGACCTGCTGGATCAGAATCTATGGGGTGGGCCCAGGAACCTGTGTTTTAACCAGACCTCCTGGGCTTTCAGAAGCATTGGCTAAAGGTGAGTGAGCAAGGAGAGTGGCAGAGGTGGGATTGAAGACAAGGGATGGATGGAGTTAAAGGAACAGGAGCACAAGTGCACTATCAGGCCATGTTAACAACATTAAATTCAACGCCCCAAAGCAATAGATTTCAGGGCTTCAGCATCCAAGTGCTTAGTCAGGTTCATACTGAAGATCAACAGCTGTACAGAAATGGCTGGGAGAAGAAGAGAAGAGGGAAGTTTTAGGGGGAGGGTACAGTGGTTCCAGTCACCGATGCCAGGGCCTGGACCTGGAATGGAGACTATGGACATAGAGAGAAGGGACTAGAAAGAGATATATCCTAAAGATAGTGTCAATGTGGTCAATTAGCTCTCAGAAGGAGCCTGAGGGAGTCAGGACACCCCACTTCAACATGGATGGTGGAGTGGATAGGGGTCTACAGAGACAGGGGCTATGAGAGAATCTCAGATGAAGGACATAAGTTCAAATTTAGATGGTTGAATTTAAGTGAGGATGAACAACTCTGTGTGTAGAAAGCCAAATCTGATGATCACTAATGAAGACCCAGTGGAAGAACAGATGGATAATGAGATGGATGATAAAACAACTCCACTCAAATGGCAAGAACCTGAATCAGGTACTTTGAGGGACCAAGCTGGGTGTATCATGACTTGGAATGGGAGAGGGAGAATGTGGAAGATGAGCCACACCATGCTCTTGCCTCTGGTGTAGGGCATGGAAAAATGCCCACCTACAGGAACTTGCTCCATGTGAGATCTTCCACACCTAGACCCTGGGAACTGGCAAAATCTCTGCTTTCACTCTCCAGCATCAGGCGCTGAGGCTGTTTCTCCCCAGAATATCCCTGGAGTGTCTCAGACTCTGATCTGTGGTCCAGTCTCCCAAGGCCATTTGCATCCCTGCCCATCCATTTTTTGAGCCATTTTTCCTTTCACAAGTTACCTTGCCATTGGAGCTCGGACTAGCAATATCTCTATGCCAGTGGGAAGAGGGAGATGGGCAGGGTTGGGGTCAGAGGGCAGCAGTTGGGCCTCCTCAGATAGCAGGCAGGCAGCCCCAGGAGCAGGAACAGAGAATACAGACACACTCCCTGCCAATGTCCAGACAGACAAGCCTTGGGAAGACCCCATCCTTGGTTTAGGCTAGGGATTGGGGGGGGGGGGGGGGGAGCCAGGAGCCCTAATGTTGACCATTGCACTGCCTGTTCCAGATGAGAGCTACCATCAAGTAGCACAGGTGAAGGCCTTCTGTCTGTCTTCTCCTGAACCTCTGGGGGACATACCAGTGGAGTCTATAGGGACAGATAATGACTTCTGGGGCCCCGCAGGGCCTGTGTCTCTAGAGGTGGTGGACAAAGACAGGGGTATGTACCGGTAAGTGAGGGGGCTCTACTGTGCCAGGCTGGCCCCCAACCCCTGACATGCCCACACTGGGTCCCAACAGGCACTCAACACCCCACTCATGGCATTGCTTCCTCTCCCATTGCCAAGTCATAAGGCAGAGACAGGGCTGAGGTACTGGATTGGTGCCTTTATTATGGAAACAGAGGTTCGATTATGAAAAGTTTAAAAAAGAGTCTAAGGAACTTCCACTTAACCATTATTCAACTTTAATAATCATTTTTACCAAATTTGCTCTAGCTATTCACTTTCCCCCTCTTTTGTTGTTATAGTATTTTAAATCCATGATATCAGGTGACTTTACCCATAAATGTTTTGTGATGCATTTTGAAGACCTTTTCTCCTATAACCGCAATGCCATTATATCTAACAACATTTACAATAAATCATGTTCAGACCATCTAATACCTAGCCTAGTCTGTATTCAAATATGCTCAGTTATCCAAAATATGTCCTTGTAGATGGTTTGTTTTAATCAGGATCCAAACAAAGTCCACTTGTTGCATTTGGTTTGTTATGTTTCATAAAGCTCATTCCAGCTACCCATTTCTGTGTTATTAGCATCCGCTATGTGCAAAGTACCATACCAGTAACAGGGGCCATGAGATGAATATGGCAGTCTGCCTTCTAAGGGTTCCCAGTCCTAAGTAATAAATGTCTATAATCTTAGTTTTAATCTCTTACATAACACATTTCTACTCACTGTCACAGACATGATCTCAATGGAATGAAATATTACCTTACTTACACACACAGAAGGTGACATCCCAAGAGCCCACTCTTTACCAATGGAGACCTGGGGAAAGTCTCTATAATATCTCTGCAAGTGTTATTTTCAGCTCCAAGTGGTTATCAATAATATCATCCTATGTTGAAAACAATTAATCTCAGTAGGATGAAGCCTAAATGGGCAGTCAGACATTCCTCTCGCAATCCAGGACTGCTGGCTCCCAACTGCTCACCTGCCTGCCTTCGTGATTGCCCCTAATCATTTCTGCATGCCAGTCTGATTACCCCCTAACCACTCCCCTGCCAGCCTGATTGATGCCTAACGGCTCCCCTGCCAGCTCGATTGCCCCTAACTTCCCTCCACTGCAGGTTGGGTTTCCCCTCCACCCCCAGCTGCCCTCCCCTGCAGGCCTGGTCACCCCCAACTGCCCTCCTCTGCTGACCCGGTCACCCCTAACTGCCCACCCCTGCCAACCTCATCGCCCCTAACTGCTCTCCCTTTCTGGTCTAGTCCCTACCCCAACTGCCCTCTCCTACAGACCTGGGTCCTCCCTAACTACCCTACCTTGCAGGCCTGGTCCCCCCAACTGCTCTCCCCTGAAGACCTGCCCCCACCAACTGCCCTTCACTGCAGGCCTGGTTCCCCCAACTTCCCTCTCCTGCAGGTCTGGTCCCCCTAACTGCTCTCCCCTGAAGACCTGCCCCCACCAACTGCCCTTCACTGCAGGCCTGGTTCCCCCAACTTCCCTCTCCTGCAGGTCTGGTCCCCCTAACTGCCCTCACCTGCAGGCCTGATCCCCACCCCAACTGCCCTCCCCTGCAGGCCTGGTCCCCCCAACTGCTCTCCCAAGCAGATCTGGGTCCCACCCCCAACTGCCCTTCCCTGCTGGCCTGATTGCCCTCAACAGCCATCTCTTGCAGGCCTGGTCCCACCCAACTGCCCTCCCCTGCTGGCCATCTTGTGGCAGCCATCTTGTGTCCACATGGGGACAGCCATCTTATGTGTTGGAGTGACAGTCAATTTGCATATTTCTCTTTTATTATATAGGACAATATTATTTTTTATCATCACCATTACAGAAACAGCTCATCACCCCCAAACAGATATTAAGCCATCAGCATACATTAGGTCACTTATTACTCAACTCTATGAGATGGTGCTATTATTTCTTTTATTTACAAATAAGAAATCTGAGATTATGAAGGTTTAATGACTTGCTGAAGGATCCACAGTAGTGAGCAGAGCAGCCAGCTCTCAACCCCAACTCCTCTGGCTGTCACATCTGAGTTTGCAGCCACCCTAATAGATACCCCATGCACTGCAGGGGTCAGACATCCAGTAGGTAGTCAGTGAGCTTTTGTAGAGTAATTAATTCATTGTCTACCTCTCTCTGCTATCCCCAGAGTTCACTTCCCTGTGGCTGGTTCCTACCACTGGCCCAACACTGGTCTCTACTTTGTGGTGAGATGGCCAGTGACCATTGAGATTGAATTCTGTGCTTGGGACCAGTTCCTGGACCAGACTGTCCCACAGCACAGCTGGATGGTTGCAGGGCCTCTTTTTGACATCAAGGCTGAACCAGGAGCTGTGGAAGCTGTGTACCTCCCTCACTTTATAGCCCTCCAAGGTGAGTGAGAGGGAAGTATGGGGGAAGGTGATGGTGGTGAGAATGGGCCCGAAATGGCTTTCAATGGCAATATCCTGAGGGGAATTTGTGGCTTCCATAAACAGACTGAGAGAAAGTTATAGCACCTTTCTTTCTCATTCCACAGTGTTCTGGGCATTTCTCTGTTTTTGAAACATTGTGTCCCCAAGCATCATAATTATTTTTGCCTGAAATCCTGAAAAGTTTCCTTCAATGCAAGTGGTTTCCTCACCCTCACCAGATTGACTCGGTGGATAGAACATCGGTCTGTGGACTGAAGGGTCCTGGGTTTGATTCAGGGCAAGGAGCATGCCTTGGTTGCAGGTTCATGTGGCCCTGGTTGGGTCACATGCAGGAGACAACCAATCGATGTCAGGCATCAATGCTCTGATATCAATGTTTCTGTCTCTCTCTGTCTCTGTCTCTTCCACTCTGTCTGAAAATCAATGAAAAAATATCCCCAGGTGAGGTAAGGAAGGAAAAAAGAAAGAAAGGGAGGGAGGAAGGGAGGGAGGGAGGGAGGGAGGGAGGGAGGGAGGGAGAGAGGGAGGGAGGAAGGAAGGGGTCTCCTCAGTAACAATAATAGCTATAATTTATTAAGTTCTCTTCACATGTATAATTCAGGGTCCCAACAGAAAATATATGATAAATCCATTAGGGATTTTTGAGACTTTTTAAAGACCAGTCCCAGTTGCCCCCAACTTTCCTCCTCTGCCAGTCTGGTCACCTCTAATTGCCCTCCCTTGCAGGCTTGATCGCCCCCAACTGCCCTCCCTTGAAGACTTGGTCCCTCCCAAATGCCCTCCCCTGCTGGCCTGATTGCCCACAACTGCCCCCCAACATAAATGAACAAGAAAGGTTGGGCACCCAAAAATTAACAACAAATGGGAGGTCATTGCTACTGTTACAGACAAGGAGAACCCATGTCATCAGACTCCATATGAGAGTTCAAGCCACAAAAGAAGGGCATTTCAGTAGAGATATAGTCATAGAGTTGCATGGTTATCCGCACCTCTCCCACCTCCAAAGACTTCTCACAGAAAGTTCCAAAAAGTGTAAAGTTCACAGTCAAAACCTCAAAAGCACTGAAAACCAACAGAAACCTCAACCAGATATCAGTCCCATAAAGACCTCAGACAGTGCTCGCTTCAGCAGCACATACATGAACATTGGAATGATACAAAGATTAGCATGGCCCCTGCATAAGGATGACATGCCAATTTGTGAAGCATTTTTTTTTTAAAAAAAGACCTCAGACATTTAAGTTGTCAAAAGGGGATTGCAAAATAAGTATGTTTCTTATGCTTAATAAAATAGCTTTAAAATGTGAGCAAGAAACAATAAGCCACTAAAAATGATAAATCAAGTCTGAAAACAAGCTAAATAGATAAAGTATAGATTAAAAAAAAAAAGATTAAGTGGCCAAAACCGGTTTGGCTCAGTGGTAGAGCATCGGTCTGCGGACTGAAGGGTCCTGGGTTCGATTCTGGTCAAGGGCATGTACATTGGTTGCGGGCACATCCCCGGTGGGAGGTGTGCAGGAGGCAGCTGGTCAATGTTTCTCTCTCATTGACATTTCTAGCTCTCTGTCTCTCTCCCTTCCTCTCTGCAAAAAATCAATAAAATATATTTTTTTTAAAAAGATTAAGTGACATGGAAGATATCAAGAGGCCTAGTATACATCTAATTGGAATTCTAGAAGGATACTATACAGACAGTGGAAAACTTAATATTCAAAGAGAAAATTTGCAATAAATTTCTATAAATGCTGTAAGAAGGAGAATTCCCAAAAATTCAAAGCAGGAAAGAGGAACAGATAGAAATCAGCACTAGACACATTGAAGTGAATCTACAGAATTTATACATCTAAGGGCAGTTTTTAACAGGAGCCACAAAGATAATGGAGGAAGGTACTGATTTTGAACAGTAACAATGGAAGGCCACAGAAGACAATGGAATGAAAATCACAAAGTATTAAGCAAATAATTGTTAATAAAGAATTACAACAACGGGAAAAAATTATTGTCAACTTAAAAATTAGCCGACTGCACTAGCCAGTTTGGCTCAGTGGATAGAGCATCAGCCTTGTGGACTGAAGGTTCCTGGAATTGATTCCAGTCAAACATATGGACCTTAGTTGCAGGCTCTATCCCCAAGACATGGTTGGGGCCCATGTTTCACTCTGTCTCTTCCACTCTCTAAAAATCAACAGAAAAATATCCTCAGGTGAAGATTAATAGACACACACACACACACACACACACACACACAAATAGCCTGCTGTTTGTTGGTCAAACATTTGATTAATTCACCCCTAATGCCTTGGCAGGGCCAGCCCAAATGATTTTTATACAGCCCATGGACTAAATATTCCCCACCCTTGTTATAAATAGCAGCAGTATTATGATTTATCCTTACATTAAATGATCTTTTTAATTCTGCTCTTTGGAGTTGACAAAAGAATTTATCTCCATCCCCATGGGAAAGCCCTTCAGGTACCTGAAGATGGCTCATAGGCTCCCTTAAGTCTCCTCCTGTGCAAGTTAAACATCTCTATTTTCTTCCATCATTCCTCTTACATTTTGGATTTTAACATCTTTGCCTCCTCAGTAGATGTGCCCATTGAGGATGAGTCAGGTTGGACTCTAAGACTGTCCAGTCAGCATGGAGGACGTGGGGCACCCTCCTTCCTCCATCCAAGTGAATCCACTGCTCCCAATACCAGAGCTCCCCTGTGCTTGCCTTCCCTCCCACACTGTCACGTCTCACTGAACTTGGGTCAGCTCAAAACCTCAGGCCATGTCCACAGGGGCTGCTGTGGACACACACACTCCCCCCTTCCCCCCTCCCCCCGCCCTCCCCCTGATTCTCCATATGCAAGTAATTATTTAATCCTCTTTTCTTGTTGTTTTTGTTTGTTTTTCTATTGAAATTTACCTATTACTCTGAGGTCCTACAATTTTCTTGATGTTAATTCTTGATTCTGACTTCAAACTCCAGAACAAACAGTGTGGGAAACAAAATGCAAAAAGGGTCAATAAGGTAGATTTACGCTCAGAATAAGGAAATCTCATCATTGAAGATATCTAGCAAAGATCTCCGTTATTTCTCCGCCAGAGTTCCATTAGGGCCAAGACAGAATTAAACCAGGTGTAAAGGGGGAAATTGGGCCTCAGTTTCCCAATATGCAGGAAGAAATGATTCATCAACATTGTCTCTAAGAGCACTTGCAACCCTTAATCCTTACTATATCAGAATTAGTCTGTAGCTTATTCTCAGAATAAACCTCAAAAGAGAAGAGTGGGTAGGAGCTTCAAGGCTTATCATTTGTGTTAATAACTATAATTGATACCGATGCTTATTCATATCTCTTTTCCTCCAGGAGACCTCAGACCTGCAGCTACTCTGTTTAGAGCCCTGCCAGGTCAGTAACAGAGTTAGAGACCACAGGAGCCATGGCAGTTCTGGAGTGTACTACCTGGTCCCGGAGGGAGGGAAGGGAGAAAGAAAGGGGACTTACTAAACCTCACAAGGGTTCAGTCCTTGGAGAGTGGTGTGTACCCCAGGGCAGAGTTCTCCCCATCCCTTTTATTCCTGCCCATCATGGCTCTGGGACCTTCCACTGAACAATCTGAAATGTCTCCATCATGAACCAGACGCCCACCCTTAGCTCAGCAGAATGTTAGGCTGAAAGTTGGCATGAGGGAGGGCAGAGGTACCTTTCTGGTGGTCCATGAAATGTGTGGGGATCAGGGAGGAGCCAGGGATGCAGATAAAGGGAGTGAAGAGTTAGGCTGTGGAATCAGAGGGAAAGGATGTAATTGAAACACTTTCTTTTTCATTACTGGCCTCACTTTCATCCCCAGTTGCCTCTACTTTGCTGCACTTTGTGGACCAGCATCGGGAGCACCTGGTGGCTCGAGTGACTTCGGTGGACGCAGTCCTAGACAAGCTGCATGGACAGGTGCTGAGCGATGAGCAGTATGAGAGGGTGAGTGCTGAGCCCACCAGTCTGGACAAGATGAGGATGCTGTTCAGCTTCAGCAAGTCCTGGGACTGGGCCTGCAAAGATCTGCTCTACCAAGCCCTGAAGAAGACCCATCCTCACCTAATTGAGGAACTCCGGAAGAAGTGGAGGAGATGATCGGGGCTACTGACAAGCTCGGCAGCTGAAGTCTGAACACCTGCTTATGAGTCCTGTCTCTGGCTGTCCAGGCTTTGGGTCTAGGTTTCTTCAAGTCTAAACAATTGTCGTCACCCAGCCAGAGTGGCTCAGTTGGTTGAGTGTTGTCCTGTGCACCAAAGGCTGGTTGGTTCAATTTCTGGTCAGAGCACATACCTGGGTTTTGGGTTCAGAAGGCAACTGATTGATGTTTCTTATGTTTCTCTCTCTCTCTCTCTCTCTCTCTCTCTCTCTCTCTCTCTCTCTCTCTCTCTCTCTCTCTCCCTCCCTCTCCCCCCTTCCTCCCTCCCATCCTTCCTCCTCCTCTCTTTCTCTAAGCACATCCTCAGTAAGAGGATAAATAAACATATTGCCATTTGAGTTGCCTTCTTGCCCTAAAGTTATGGAGCATTGATAGTACCTTTGCTGGGCTTTATATGTCCATGCTCAGTGATGCCACATGGGCTCCTAAACTTCCTCCTTATTATTAAGGAACAGTATATAGTTGTATATCATGATGCATTTTTTATATCATGATACTGCATTTGTATATCATGTTTCTACACTACAGTAAAGCAGAATACTAAGTAGACAGAAGGCCTAAGATTGAAAAGTGTGTGGGAGACGTTAGCTTTAGACAGTGTATAGACTTGTTAGACAATACAGAGGGCAGCACAGGAAGCCATAAGCTCTAATGGGAAAACAAGGGCAGACTACTGGGCAGACCTGCTATTGGAAAAGAGGGAGGCAGGAGCAGGAAAGGATGAGCCCAGAAAGTGATGGGTCAATAAAAGGCAGAGAAGAGCCAGGAGGAAGGACTCTAGGTCCTGCATGGCCAGCCCCTATTAATTAGAGGCTGAGGGTCAGCAGCCATGCCCTCTGCACCCCTAGAATTTCCCTGTAACCTTGCTCCCATGACAACCCCTTCAGAAGGCAGGTGCCACCCAGGCAGGGATCCCTGTCTTTGGTCAAGGGAGGAAGGTGCCTGGTCCTCTCTAACTGGGTAGCTTCAGCCCTGGGACATGCAAAAAAGAGTTCAGGGCTGGTCCATGCGCAGAGAAAGGAGCTTTATTGCTCGAGCTCCCACAAGACCATTTTTGCACCACACAATGTCATTTGGATACAAACCTGGCAACACTCACAAAGCCTCTAGCCTCTAAATGGGCAGAATCATGTGCATCCATTAACAATTGCACCAGCACAGTTAATAAAGTGACCTCTAGTATCCACTCCCTTGGTCAAAACCAGGGACTACATTCCCACTGCTTACACACACACACACACACCAATCTTCCTTCCCTCTGCAGAGCTGAGTCCTTCTCCTCCCCTGGCTTCCCCTAACAGGGGACCTCTCAACCCAGGCCCCGCTTCTCCTGCCTCCTCCTTCTGCCTCCAGCTTGTGTCAGGAATTGGCTCTCCTCAAGTTCAACCCACGTCTGGGAGTCTGCTTGAAAACCTAGTTTATTTTCATGGCAACCGGAGGTCCCGGGTTCGATTCTGGTCAAGGGCATGTACATTGGTTGCGGGCACATCCCCACTAGGGGGTGTGCAAGAGGCAGCTGATCGATGATTCTCTCTCATCGATGTTTCTAACTCTCTATCCCTCTCTTCCTCACTGTAAAAAATCAATAAAATATATTAAAATTAAAAAGAAAATATTCTCCAGGTCTGTTCACTGCAGGTCGATGGGAGAAGGGACTGCACAATGGACGCACGCCCAGTGAGTTGGGGGTGAGGTGGGAAACCAGTTAATCACATCTGGGAACCAGGCATTGGCCAGAATGGGTATGGTCACTGCAAGGGGGTGAAATCCCAGATACATAAACTCCTGAACAAAGGAGCTTTCTCTCTCTCAGCTCTCTTAGGAGGTGGGCTCTCTTGTTGCGGGGGGAGACATGCTCCCCTGCATTCACCCATATGGCCTACAGACAGGAGGACCCCCACACACAATGGATTGATGGACTGGAATTAGTTAAATGCTGTGCTGGATTCAAACCCCACCATGGAATGAAAACTTTGGACACCAGCTTTGCTTCTAGTTCTACTGAAGCCCCAGTTTCACATTTCCCAGTGCTGGTTTAGGGGAAATGGGACTTTGCAAACCGAGGAATATACCTATACACAAATAAAAATCACTCATTCTTTCATGCAAGTCTTAGAAAACTCTTTTTCTCAAGATGTCATAAGAACCCCACTTCCATTAGCAATGGAGAAATTCCACCCGTGCAATTCTCTGATAGCAGTATCAGCAGGCTCACATTCTCACAGCTTAGCAACTCCAGCTACAAGAGCTTCTAGTTGGCTAAAAGGTACAAAATGTGTAACCCTTGCCCTGCTGGTGTGGTTGAGCATCGACCCTTGAACCATAAGTACCCAGTTCAATTCTGGTCAGGACACATGTCCAGGGAGCATGTAGGAGGCAGCCCATCAATGTCTCTCATTGATGTTTATATCTTTCTATCCCTCAAAAAGTTAATAAAAACTTATTTTTTAAAAAAATTTAGAATCCTCATACACTGTTATGGCTTTTTAAAAAATATATTTTATTGATTTTTTACAGAGAGGAAGGGAGAAGGATAGAGAGCTGGAAACATCGATGAGAGAGAAACATTGACCATCTGCCTCCTGCATAGCCCCCACCGGGGGGATGTGCCTGCAATCAAAGTACATGCCCTTGACAGGAATCAAACCTGGGACCTTCCAGTTCGCAAGCCGACGCTCTATCCACTGAGCCAAACTGGTTCCAGCTCCTCACACACTGTTGTTGGGAATGTAAAATGGTGCAGCTACTTTGGGAAACAGTTGGGCAGTTGTATAAAAAGTTAAATGTACACAGACCCTATAACCCAGGAATCCCATTCCCAGGTTTCCACCCAACCGAAGTAAAAACATATGTCCACACTGAGACTTGCTCATGGAAGTCCATAGCAGGATTATTCGCAATAGCCCCAAATTTAAAACAACTTAAATGTTCATCAAATGGTGAATGGAAAAACAAAATGTGATTTATCTATTCGGGTGGGAGTAGAGGGAGTGGGAGGTGGGGAGGGAATGTCTGACCCTTTTATCGCCTTCAAACTCACTTGATCTGGCCCCACCAAGGCATTCGGGGTGAGTTAATTAAATGTTTGACCAAATATAGCAGGCTAATAATTTCATATGGCTACGTATAATGTTATAAAAATCAAAATGGTTCCCTGCCCCTGCTCTAGAGCAGTGTTTTTCAACCTTTTTTGGGCAAAGGCACACTTGTTTCATGAAAAAAATCACGAGGCACACCACCATTAGAAAATGTTAAAAAATTTAACTCTGTGCCTATATTGACTATATATAAAGTAATTCTCTTGAATAGGAATCAAATAAACACAAAGAAAGTATTTTATAATTACTTTATTATGAAATATTAAGTAAACAAAATAGTGAAAAATTATAAAATTCTTGTCGTCTGCACCTACGGCACACCAGGCAACAGTGTGCCGCGGAACAGCGGTTGAAAAACGCTGCTCTAAAGGAACAGCCTCACTGACCTGCTATTTTGAGCCAGAACTCCCCCGTGTGGCGGGCTACTTTTCCGCACTTGAATATTAAGTGAAAGCGTCTGAATAAACTTAAATGTATTGTACTTTATCTTGTCACAGCTTATATTCTTATTACCCGAAGTCCAATGATTTATAATATGTAACAAAACCTCCTCAAAAACCCAAAAGGAGAGTTTGGAAGGCTTCTATGTTGGGTAACCAGAACCCCAACATGCATACACAAACTCCACGGGGATACATGCTCCTTTGAAACCCCACCCTGTGTATCTTTCACCTGGTCACTGGATCATATATTCTCTGTAATAAAGTGATAATCTAGCGAATAAAGGTTCCTGAGTTTGTGAGCCATTCTAGCAAGGTAATTAAATCCAAGGAGGGGTCATTGGAACCTCCGAGTTATAGCCAGTCAAGGTAACAACCTAGGCCAGCGGTCAGCAAACTGTGGCTCACGAGCCACATGCAGCTCTTTGGCCCCTGGAGTGTGGCTCTTCCACAAAATACCATGGCCTGGGAGATTCTATTTTGAAGAAGTGGCATTAGAAGTTTAAAAAATTTGTCTCTCAAGAGAAATGTCAATTGTTGTACGGTTGATATTTGACTGTTGACTAATGAGTTTGCTGACCACTGACCTAGACTTGTCACTGGCATTTGAAGGGCAGTCTTTGTAGGGCTGAGCTCTTAACCTGTGTTATCTGATGCTATTTGGGAAGTGTCAGATTGAGTTGAATTATAGGATATCCAGATGGTGCCCTATAAAATTGTTTGGTGGTGTGGGGAAAACCCTCATCAGAATTGAGTAACAGAACCTCTTGCATAGTACCGGTATTTCCTTATAATTCTTTTTATTTCTTTAAGATTGATAGTAATGGCCACTCTCTTTCCATTAACACCATGCCAAACTGTTTCCCGAACTGGCTGTCACTGCAGCAACAGTAGGAGGGAAGTCTATTTAGTGATATATACTGGGTTTCAGGCATATCTTAAGGGAGAATAAACAAATAAATACAAGGAAAAGCTTGGGAGCAGGCATTTAGGGAAATTGAAGGTTTGATATTGCAACATCATAGGATCCAATGTAGAAGGAAGCAGGAAATTGGTTGAGACTGATGCTGGATGGGAGATGAATGAAACAGACTAGGTAACCAAGGGTTTATCATCCTGAGTAAGAGGGCCAATTAGGTCTCAGCCCTTGTTTCCTTAATTATAGTCTACCTCCTTATGCATATCTTAATATTCTAAATTCACTAAGTATATTAGTTCTCAGTTGCTATCATAACGTAGTGACTTAAAACAACAGATATGCATTCTCAGTTCTGGAGGCCAGAACCCAAAGCAAGCATGTTAGAAGGGCCACACTCTCTGGAGGATCTTAGAGAGCATCTGTCCTTTGCCTCTTCCAGCTTATGGTGGCTGCTGGCATTCCTGGACTTGTGGCTGTGTCGCCCCAATCTGCCTGTCACAATGCTTCCACCTCTGTCTCAAATCCCTCTCTGCCTTTCTCTCATAAAAGATACTTATCGCTGAAACCGGTTTGACTCAGTGGATAGAGCATCAGCCTGCGGACTGAAAGGTCCCAGTTTCAATTCTGGTCAAGGGCATGTACATTGGTTGCGGGCACATCCCCGGTGGGGGGTGTGCAAGAGGCATTGGTTAATGTTTCTCTCTCATCGATGTTTCTAGCTCTCTAGCTCTCTCCCTTCCTCTCTGTAAAAAATCAATAAAAGATATATTTTTTAAAAAGATACTTATCATTGGATTTAGACACCCACCTCCCCAGATAATTGAGGATGATCATTTCTGGATCCTTAACTTAATTATACCTACAAAGATCATTTTCCAAATGACAGTCACAGGTTCCAGGAATCACAACATACATAGACAAACCATTTGGGGAATCACTATTCAAGCCAATCAATACTAGGAGATTTTAAATAGCTACAATGGGGGGGGGGGGATTTTTTCATTTGGATAAAAAGTAATATTGAAGAAGGAAACATAGCATGACATTACATACAGCAGAAAATCAAAAATCAAAGCCTTTAAAAACACCTGTATTTCATGTATAGGATTGAGAAAAGAACTCTTTGATAATAAATATATTCCAAGTAAACACAGACTTCATAAATCTATATATATTTAATTGCAAATATTAATACCCTATGTTACTCTTCTACATAAAGGAGAAACTCCAAATCCTATTCTTTAGGAAAACACAAGCAATACCTTGAAATTATTGCCAAATCTTCCTTTTTTGTGAGACCTATGTTACATGGATTAATTACAAAAGAGTATATCAGACTCCATTGAATTTAAGCAAAAGACACAGCTAAAATTTCCCGCTGAGAGGGTAATATTTGATACTTGTGATTGTGAATACATAAGTTAATTAAATATTAGGCACAAGAAAAATTCCAAAACTATCTGAAGTACGAATTTAAAAATGGCATAAATATGCCAACTAGTATGGCTCAGTGGATAGAGCATCGGCCCACAGACTGAAAGGTCCCAGGTTCGATTCCAGTCAAGGGCACATACCTCAGTTGTATTCCCTGGCCCTGGTGGAGGCAACTAATTGATGTGTCCCTCTCACATAGATGTTTCTGTCTTTCCCTCTCAATTCTACTCTCTAAAAATCAATGGAAAAGTAGCCTCGGTGAGGATTAACTGACAAACAAAAAATGGCATAAATACTAAATAGTCAATTAACATAAACTTTGCTATTGGGTATGTTCCAGGCTTCCTTTTCTATTCCAGTGAGATATGCTTTTTTTTTTTTGTCCAAGATCTTCCACTGCGGGGCTCCAAGACAGTAAATTATTTAACACCATTAAGGACTTAGTCATGGAAAGGATTTTAGAAAAAAAAAAATTTTTCTTTCTGCTTTAATAAAGATTATGGTTGTTTTTCTGCTGCTTGCTTCCTTAAATTACGTATCAACTTCCTGGTGCAAGAAAAATTATGGGCAAGAACACGCATTCTATGTTGGCTGTCCCACAGTGTATTAGCTGATTAATAAAGAAGCCACCCACTTGCCTGGCTGGTGTGGCTCAGTGGTTGAGTGTTGACCTATAAACCAGGAGGTCAAGGGTCAATTCCCAGTCAGGGAACAGGCCGAGGTTTCAGACTCCATCCCAGTGGGGACATGCAGAAGGCAGCCGATCAATGATTCTCTCTCATCATTGATGTTTCTATCTCTCTCTCTCCCCACTCAACCTTTTTGTCATTTGGTCTCATCTAAGTAAACAAAAAGGATCAAGGTTACAAAGGACTCATGACCAAGGTACACCTTTTACAAATATCTTTTTTTTTTTAAATATATTTTATTGATTTTTTACAGAAAGGAAGGGAGAGAGATAGAGAGCTAGAAACGTTGATGAGAGAGAAACATCAACCAGCTGCCTCTTGCACACCCCCCAATGGGGATGTGCCCGCAACCAATGTACATGCCCTTGACCGGAATTGAACCTGGGACCTCTCAGTCTGCAGACCAATGCTCTACCACTGAGCCAAACCGGTTTCAGCTACAAATATCGTTTGACTGGCCATGAAAAGCTTGATTTCTTCATCAAGCCCCCAAATTGAGTCTTGAATGGATTAAGAATTCCTTCCCACCTATTAGAAGCCTGTAAGGAATAAATGCTTCAAAGATCAGTTCCGAGCAGTACACAGATTCCTCAGGAGAGTGGACTGAACAAGAGGACAAGGACCAAATAAGAGGAAAATGTAGAATACAAGAAAAAGTTTAAAAGAAATCCAACAAAATATACAGTTCACTAACATAATAGTCATGGATATACATCCCTTATTCATCCTACTTTTGACCGGCTCCTTTTATTATTTAGAAATTAAGTTATCTTCAATCTTTTGCTTTCTTTTTCCACATTGTCTCTAATATCCTGGAGTTTTCTGGAGTTCTGGGCCAGGAACACCAAGCTGTCCCTAAAATCACTAGTCCCATGATTTCTGCCAACATTTTCAAGCTCATCAAACAAAGCCAATGTCTGTTTAAGTTTGGCCTGAACAATTTTTTGCTCTTCTAATTCTGCAAGAAGGGCCTGCTTAGTGCATAATTCAGTCTTGTACTGCTCCTGTAACTGTTCGATTTCTTTTTGGAGAAGCTGGAATTCTTCCTCACTGTAAGAATGCATCTCCTGAGATTTATCTTCTGGAAGCAAGATGTTTGGGGGAATACGCAAAATCCACTGTAGAAACAGCTGCTCCATTTTGACAAAAAGCTTATCAAAACGTCCTTTCATGAAGCAAAGAAACTTCTCTGTGCACTTCCGAACCTGGACTGGGCTAATCTCACAGTTTGGGATGCCCTCCAGCTTCTTCAGAATAACCTGTTCAACAGCCTGCATCACTTCAAACAGGTAGTCTTGAAATGCAATGTAGATCCTGAGCATGCAAGTTTGTGGTGTGAAACCAAAGAACTGGGCCTCATAGGTCATTGGATCGACAGACATCTCGACTTACTTTGCTGTTAATTTTGATTGTGAAAACTCTGCAAATGTAAAAGAAATGCCATTGGATTAAATCATCTGAAGAAAGTAATAAAACACATTATAAATAGAAAAGTTTGTGTTCCTTGATACTCTCAATGCCAATTCCAGCCTCACTCAACCACAATAGGATGCCAACCCTTGCCTCTCTGAGGCTGTTTCCATCCATCCTCCCTTAGACCCTCATTTTCCTTACCTTTCATTTATTGAGGACTCTGGCCTGTGGTTCAATTTTCTGAAGTCTGTTCTCATCCTAGACAACATTCAAATTTAGACAAATAACCTAACCAGCCCTAGAGACACAGTTTCATGAGATTCAATAGCTTCACTTTTTCAGTCACCTGGCTCTTGATATTTGCAATTTCTCTCCCCAATGCTCTGTTTTTTGACAACTTCTTATGCTATTTTTCCAACTCTCATTCACGTAGCATGACTTTACTATTCTAGGAAACCAGTATCTTTTCATTGTTCTAATTTAGGTTCTAATTTCATTGTTCTAAGTTTAGGGCTTGAACTGCCCTAAAAGTGGTCAACTCCTCAATGGGAAGCATCATCAAGCAGAACCTAAGATTCTCTGAAACCCTTGCCTCAGCTGTTTCTACCAATCCTGTACTGTCATTTCACGAACTCCATCCAGTCCTAACCAAGCCCCCAAATGGAAAGGTCCATCTTAAGCCAAACTTGCAATTCTCAAAAAAATTCCGATCTTGCCTTTCTTCCCTAGGAGACACTGCCAAAGCTCTTTCAAGGCCCCATTGTTCTTCCTTACCAGGGCAGGCAGTACATGAAACATTCTTTTATCAACAGGTTGTGAGGGTGACAGGAGCAGGCAAAAATATTTTTGGTGCATTTCTCTGATTACCAGTAAATTGGGTACTACTTCATACACGTTAGCATTTTGGGTTCTCCTCCTGTGAATAACCATTCATATCCTTTGTAAAAACCACTCTCTTCACCCTTCAATGTGATTCCTTCTTACCTGCTACCAGATTTGATGGCCATTCCCTATTCCTAAACTCTGAGCGCTTCCTTATTAGTTTGTCAGGATCTGACTACTCTTCCCAACCAAACCGAACTATTTCGCCCCCCCACCCCCCCCCGTGGTGTCTTTCCTTCAAGGTAAGATCCGCGGCCAAATCTCCTTCAAGGGTCAGTTTAAATACACTTCTTGGGGGCGCACCCCCTCCTCTGAACTCGATCAGGGCCCTTTCTTCAGACACCGACCGAGTTCTCCTAGTACTTTAGGGTGTTACCACGGGCCTGTCTCCTCTCCTCCGCTAGCCCTAGAGTTCCTCAGGACAGGACGAAGACGGCTTAATCAATATTTGCAAAGTAAACACACCAGGTGCCCAGGATACCTCAAGGAACTGAGTTGACAGAGAGTTGCAGAAACAGTCTGGCAGGAACGCCTTTCGGCCTGAGGACCAGCTCCCGTCGGGCCCCGCGACCCCGCTGCATGCCGGGACCTTCAGCTCTGAGGCCCCTCGGGGATGCCTCATCCAGGTCCACTCCTCCCCTCGCTTCCTGTGAGAAAAGGCAGCTCCGCGGCACTTACCGAAGCGACCATGAGGGTGGCGATTCCGATTGAACTGTGGTTTCCCGCCACCGCCTTTCAAGCACCTCTCGTTACCAGAGATCGGCAGGGCGGTGGCTCCCCCAAAACACCGAACGATGCCCGCCCCAGCGAACTGGAGCGAAGGCGGGCTGCTGTCGCGCTCCTGATTGGCTGGCTGTTCGGTCGGTGACTGAAAGGGGCGGGGCGGGCAAGCTAGCTGTGGCCCGCGGGGATTGGCGGAAGGAAGCCGTTCGGACTCTCCCCCTCAGCGACGTAGGCGGGTGAGGAAGCCAGGCCGGGTCGCCGCCGGTACCGCAACTCCTGATTGGTGAATGGCTTTCCTCAGGGCTCCTGCGATTGGTGGTTGACAGGTTGCGCGGCGCCGATTGGACGGCAGCGGGCAGGGCCACGGAGGCCTCTGGCCCCGCCCCGTCGCCGGGCTGACTGGCGGAAGGGGAAGTGGGGCGGGCGCAGGCGGCGGTGGGGAAGATGGCGTACCAGAGCCTCCGGCTGGAGTACCTGCAGATCCCACCGGTCAGCCGCGCCTACACCACCGCCTGCGTCCTCACCACCGCCGCCGTGGTGAGCAGATGCAGCGCCGGCTTCTCCTTATGCGGGCTGGATGTAATCGGGTCCTGGGGAAAACGGGTTTGGGCCTCCGGGAAGCCCAGGTGGTTTGGTCTCAGGGTGGGTGGAGGTGGACATGGTTCAACTCTGGCGTTGGGAATTGGTTTCAGACTGATTAGCCAGGGACCAGGAAGGGAGTGCTACTACAGGAGGGTTGGGGGGATCAGGACTGCAGGTCAGTTTCTGAGAAATGAAGGCCGGACCTGTAGCAAGTCAGGGCGGCGGGAGCCGCCCACCCAGAAAACGTGTCTGAGAACCCTGGCGCTGGCCAAGTGGCACCAATGGCCAAGTGGTACCGCGGTGACTAGTGGGGGAAAGTCCGCCTGTGAAGAAACTTAGAAACTGAGGATAGAAAGCTGGAAGTTGTCCAGAGGCAAGAGTCTTAAACAGAGTGTGAATACAGAGGTTGGCTGGAAGCAGGATCTTGAGTATGTATATTATTATGTATAATAATAATATACATTATTATGTATAGTATAATATTATGTATATTATTCATTTCAAAGAGGAAGGGAAAGGGAGAGAAAAACATCAATGATGAGAGAATCGTTGAGCAGCTGCCTCCCGTATGCCCCACACTGGGGATCAAGCCGGCAACCCGGGCATGTGCCCTGACTGGGAATCTAACTGTGACCTCCTGGTTCGTAGGTCATCACTCAACCACTGAGCTGCCTGGGCCTGGCGAGTCTCATTTCCTTTGAGTGAGATGTGTTGCTTCACCCAACTGTGATTCGGAGAAGCTGCTCATTATTTGCCCCATATCTAAGATACACAACTCTACCTGCATCCCATGCCTTCGGGCCAGCCTCAATTATTGCAATATAGAACAAACTTTTATTCTGTGTTGGGTATTGAGGATACAAAGAATTGCACCAGTTCTAGAGAATTGTGTACCAGCCTCTCCCATTAGCTTTAAAGGATTCAGTCTAAGTGACTGAGAGTTGGAAATTGCTATCCCTACTTAACCCTTCATTGTAGATGATGAAGTTTTACTTCTTGATTTAATTTGCTTAAGTAGCTCTTTCTCTATTTCAGCAGTTGGAATTGATCACACCTTTTCAGCTGTACTTCAATCCTGAATTAATCTTTAAACACTTCCAAGTAAGTGGTCCGTCACAATCATGATGTTTCAGTTTTTTAAACTTGTTTTTCTTTCTTTTTAATAGCAAAGCCTATTTTATACTACCTCAGAAAATAATTCAGAGAAATCAGTGGGGATATCTGAGTATAAGTCTTATTTGTGGGAGGTATAAAACAGTGATTCTGCAGCCTAATGGGGAATGTTTAAGAGATTCTCAAGCTCCTCATCATGTACTTAGTCTGAATAACCAAGGTTAGGAATTAAGAATCTGTGTGGATTTTTTAAAGTTCCTGCATGGTTTTGCTTTGATGTGCTCAGTTCCTATATTTAGGAATCACTAGTTCAGAGTTAATATTGTATTTGAGAGACTTGACTAAGTAACTGCCCAGGGTAGAATCTCACAAGATGCCCTTATTTTGTGCATTTGCCGCCTGGCACACCCACCACCTTGATGTTATCACCATTGTCCAGTTCAGGAACTCAGCTCTATCAGTGCATTTTATTATTCATTATTTTATTTTCACTTTGTAAGAGAAAGTTTATTTAGAAAGTTACAAGCTCTGGCCAGGTAGCTCAGTTGGTTAGAGCGTCGTCTGGATATACCAAGGTTGCAGGTTTGATCTCTGATCAGGATACATACTAATACAAGAAGAACCAATGAATGCATAAATAAGTGGAACAACAAGTCTATGTCTGTCTGTCTGTCTGTCTATCTCTCTCTCTCTCTCTCTCTCTCTCTCTAAAAGTTAATAAATAGCCCTGGCCAGGTGGCACAGTTGGTTGAAGTATCATCTCGTACATCAAAAGGTTGAAGGTTTGAATCCCGTTCAGTGCACATACCTACGGTAGGTAGGGATTCAATTAATGGTCAGGTGGTATACAGGAGGCAACCAGTCAATGTTTCTCTCTCACACTGATGTTTCTCTCTCTCTCTCCCTTTCTCCTCTTCCTTCCCTTCCCTCTCTTCTCCCTAAACATATCCTTGGGTGAGGATTAAAATAAATAAGTAAATAAATAAATGTTAAAAATCAATAAAGTTTAAAAAAAAAAAATAAGGAAGTTACAGAGGTAGTAGAAGTGAGCCAGCTGGACTGCATAGGCTCAGGAAACAAGTTACAGAAACAAAAGAAGGACCCTTGGAGCTTCGGAGAGGGAAGGGCAAAGGTAACAGGTGCCTGGGGGCGAAATGGGGGAAGGGAAAGATGTGGGCATGCCCTCAGGAGGGAAAGACCCTCAACTTTATTAGTGCTTTTATTTATTTATTTTTTGAACTTTTATAAGTTTATTTAAGCCAGACTGACAAAATATGCTACTGTGGGGGTGGGGAGCAAGATCTCAAATGCTCCTTCCTCTATTAGTGCGTTTAAAGTGATCCATCTTCCAGGGATCTGATCATACTGACAAAACTAAAGATTGACATCTTAAACGACATGCCAGTTTGTTAGATTGCAGTGGCAGGTAGTCCTTTCCAGTAATTACAGTGCTGAAGGAGAGATGTCTTTTCCTGCTGCAGGATGTTCATATAGGCTATAGGCTATAGCTGGAATAGCCAAAAACCAGTAATTCTGCCTATACACGCTAGTCACTCTGTTTCAAGTGTGTTTCATTCACTTTATACCCACTGAGCTCCAGCTTGCCTTTCAAGAGAAGCTTTTGTGTGACCATCTCTTTTGTGTCCCTAGGGTATTTGTAAATGTTTCCTCTCTCTTATCTCAGACTTGCACTTGTTTATGTGTTTGTGTCCTGGCTAGATGGAGGGCTCTAAAGTCTAGTACTGCAGGACTGAATTGTTTCAACTTTATTAGTAACCAGTTCTTAGGAGTTTAATAATACTTAAAGCAGCCCTGTGGACTCTTGTCATGTCTTCTTCATGAAGAAGTGCTGTAGCTCCACCCAAGTATTTCTTCAAGTTAATTGCTTGGCTTTGCCTGGAGTTAAACTCTTGTTACTGTGAATCTGCATTAGGAGTTAGAAGTTCTAGGTTTGCGTTCAGAATCTCCCTTTACAATTTATGTGTTCTTGGTTTATTTATGAAATAGGGATGGTGGACACAGGATTAAGATCACATGAGCTGCTAGAATATGTTAAACTACTTTAAAATCTTAAGTGCTCTACCCTTGTGAGAAGTTGTTTTGATCATGAGCTCCATGGGTAGGGTAGGGGAGAGTAATTTCCAACAAGAACATGGGTGTCCTTATATCTACCAAGTAGACTCTAGTTATTAGAGCATTAGGTCTTTACTTGTAGGAAGTTGGCTTTTTTTTTTTTTTTTTTTTTTTTTTTTAATGCATTCACTGGTTGCTTCTTGTATGTGTATTTTGGCGTATTGGGACGATTCTCTAATCAACTGAGCTACCCGGCCAGGGTGGGAGTTAGCTATTAGTTCAGACTAGAATTTGAATATTTTCTTTACAATTACTCTGGATGTTTTGGGCTACTTAATATAGAAACATTTTTTAGCAATTTCTATTAGATCCCTAGAGTTTTTCTCTGGTGTCTCAAGCCTATTCATTAAATTGTGATACTACATATATGAAAGCACTGTTTTCTGTTATGCAAATTAACCTAGTCTTTCCATCAAACTTTTTCTATAATTTGCCTAACCATAGGGTGTGGGCTTTTTTCTTTTTTTCTTCAAATTATCAGAGAAAGTTTATTTAGAAAGTTATAGAGGTAGTAGAAGTGAGCCATCTGGACTGTGTAGGTTCAGGAAACAAGTTACAGAAGCAAAAGAAAAGGACCGTTGGAGCTTAGGAGAGAGAAAGACAAAGGTACCAGGTGCTTGGGGGGAAGAAGAGGGAGCCTGAAAGGCTCAGGAGCAGGTGTGCTCCCCAGAGGGAGGTGTGCAGCTGTGGGCTTTTTGTGTTGTTTTGTTCTTCAAAGACAATCACAATTTCAAGATTTCTGTCCTATTATCGTTACAGATTTCAGGAGTTGAGTGACATCATTCAGACTTTCAAAATCCAGTGTCAGATTTTGTGCCCCACTTTTTGGTTCAGAACATCGTATCACCTAGCCATGGCCTTTCAACCATCATAGTCAGAGGATATCTCTTTTGTCTTAATATGGAAGCGTTTCTTGGTGTATTTTACTTAATCTACCTCTCTCTTGATTTTTTTTCTTTTAACAGATATGGAGGCTAATCACCAATTTTTTATTTTTTGGGCCTGTTGGATTCAATTTTTTATTTAACATGATATTTCTGTATCCTTTATTAAGTGGGATTAACATAAAAACTTTAGGTTCACTTATCCTGTTATTTTTTTTACCATTTTATTTCTTTTAATATACTTTTATTCGTTTAAGAGAGGAAGGGAGAGAGAGAGCAATAGAAACATCAGTGATAAGAGAGAATCATTGATTGGCTGCCTCCTGCACACCCACTCCTGGGGATCAAGCCTGCAACCTGGACAAATGCCATTGACACCGAATCAAACCCGGGACTCTTCAGTTCACAGGCCGATGTTCTCTCCGCTGAGCCAAACCAGCTAGGGCTTTGTTAACATTTTAGCTGTAACTTCTAGGTACTGGCTCAATGGTGCAGAGTAGTTGGTCAGATAGTAATGTTTTGAGGGTGTTTGTAGGTCACTGCTGGGTCAAAAGGGAGGTATCTATAATAATAAAAGCATAATATGCTAATTCCTTACCCCTGCCAGGGAAGCCCGGGTCCCAGGTGCCTGCCAACGGCCGGAGGGAAGCTCGGGCCGGGTGCTGGAGGGAAGACAATGCCAGCAGCAGCTGGGGGGAGGAAGGCCTACTCTGGCACAAATTTCGTGCATCAGGTTTCTACAATAGTTTAACCATAAAATGATTACATTTCTGCCTCTAAGTCACTTGCAAATATGATCAAGGGGGGAGGAGTGATTTGGTTGATGCATGCTTATAAAGTAACATCAGCAGTTACCAAATAGTAAAACACAAGCTGAATATAGGGATAATTGACAGAGCTTTGATACAGGTCTGGGAGTGGGCTCCTGAAGAATGGCAACTTGAGATCTTGTATCGTAGTTGCTGGTTCTACTGGCTGAAAGACAGAGCCATAATATCTGCCAGGCTTGCCGTGTTCTGGTTTATTGAGACACCGGAAGAGTGTGCTCTGGTCGTATGGTCATTGGGGCCACTGAACAGATCTTCCTCCTCACCCTGACCCTCTGGAAAGAGGGCAGTTACAGCTCACCTCACCCTGCAGTACACTGAGAGCCATGTAGGGGGTGACAGGATTCCTGCCCTAGGATGGATTCCTGTCCTATATTCTAGTAAGTTTCTGATAATTAAATTTTTTCATCAAAATGCAGCTTCAGCCCTGACAGGTTTGATTCAGTGGACAGAGCGTCAGCCTGCGAACTGAAGGGTCCCAGGTTCGATTCCAATCAAGGGCATGTACCTTGGTTGCCCACACATCCCCTGTAGGGAGTGTGCAGGAGACAGCTGATCGATGTTTTTTTTCTCATCGATGTTTCTAACTCTCTATCCTTCTTCCTTTCTCTCTGTAAAAAATCAATAAAATATGTATATATTTTTAAATGCAACTTCATTGACTGAGGTATAGAAGTACTCTACCAGCCTGAAGTAGATTACCACTCAAGGCTTCTTGATGCGGATTTCTTCCAAGTGAGGTGTACAAAAGCAAGGGTGACGCAGAGTCTGGTGTGGCTGGACATGGAAAAGATGATACAGATTTGAAAAGGCTTAATAGGTGACTAGGAGCATGTTTATCCAGCATCTGGCTGGATTCCCCAATTAGGAATGGTTTTTATAAAATACGAAGTTGCAAAAAACTTAGAAGTAACCATACTACCACTTAGAAACATTCTTACAGAAAAAAAGGCTTGACTTACAAATAATGTGGAGTCCAAGTATTCTTACCTGATACATTAAATTTTACTTTCTTCATGTTTGTGCTTAACATTTTCTTAACCTGAAACTTAAGATACCGTTACTGTCGAATGCTAGAAGAAGGCTCTTTCCGAGGTCGGACAGCAGACTTTGTATTTATGTTCCTTTTTGGTGGATTTTTAATGACTGTATCCTTCAACAAATAGAACAAACGTAGGAAAATGTACCAACCTCTCTCTTCCTAAAGTTTTTTATCCGTCTCCCACAATTCACTAGATATTCTGAACAGAGACCTCCAGATTCTAGCTTTAGGGGACTATTGTTTATTTTACAGCACACTTTATGTGCCAGTCTCTAAGCCTGGAGGTTAGGCAGGATGCTTTCTACTATGAGCACATCAGAGGAACTTCTAACCAAGGTAGGTTACTGTCTGTTAGTGGATAAATGGATAAAGAAGATGTGATATGTATATGTATATGTATATGTACATGTATATATCTATTCCAAAAAAAATGTATACATACACTTTAACAGCATTTTCAGTTTTGAAAGTAAAATGTATTTTAATAAAACTGCCTTTATAATTATTTAAAATGTGTTTACACATTTTTTGGGATATCCTATATGTTCATAGTGTGCTTCACTTAAGTTTGTAAGACATTTATTTGGTTACTAACAAAACTGATAAATTATTTTTAAAAAAATTGTCAACCATATAACAGACTTGAATGTAGTCCATCTGACAAGATGGTTTTGCTGCAACTGGCTTTATTCACCTTCTGTAAAGGTGCTAATGGTGAGTGAACTTTAATTCAATTATTGACCAAATAATTAACACATTTTCCAAAAAGGCAAAAACTTCATGAAAGCAGAATAACACTTTAAAATAATTTGGCCTAAGCAGGTTTCTGCCTGATTGCTCTGGGGAATTATTTTCAGGCCTTTTTCTTCTAAAGATGTAAGTAACTCATGCTTAGCTTTCCTAATTCAGACTTTTGTTAGAACACCATCCTTAGTTCTTTTGCCCAGTCTTCCCTGTTTTATTGTTAATGTTGACATTTTCCTTAATGCCATCTGTAGATATTTGGTTTGTTTGTGAGTTTAGTTTTTTTGGGCCAGGCCTTTACGATAATGCTTGTCTACGTGTGGAGCCGAAGGAACCCTTATGTCCGCATGAACTTCTTCGGCCTTCTCAACTTCCAGGCCCCCTTTCTACCCTGGGTGCTCATGGGCTTTTCCTTGTTGTTGGGGAACTCAATCATTGTGGACCTCTTGGGTAAGAGTCTTATCACTACTTTTCTATTATGTTACTTATAAGCTTAGTTTGTCACTATTTTTTCATGTTTGTCCTTCATATAATAGCTATTGTGGGATTATTTGATAGTTACATTCTCAAAGATTATAATATTAGTTTTCTAATTCTTACTATATTGATATTTCTTCCTAATTAAAAGGCATTTGTGTTGGTAGATTCACTTGCAATTAAAATTTTAATCCTCTCTCTCCTCCTTTATTTGTGGTTGACTTTAGGTATTGCAGTCGGACACATATATTTTTTCTTGGAAGATGTATTTCCCAATCAGCCTGGTGGAATAAGAATTCTGAAAACGCCATCTATTTTGTGAGTATTTAACACTAGATTACGTGTTTTGTTGCAGGTAAACTGGGACAGGGCCCATGATCAATGTTCAGGTCGGTAAATATTTACAGATTGAGGAGCGTTTGTGTGGGAGGAGCAAACAGTGCCTGCTGGTGGCAGGAGGGAGGCTCACAGGCTCAGGGTGTCCCGAGGCTGACTTGTAAACTGCTGTCCAGGATGACCACTAGCACCTCCTGCTCCAGAGAGGAGCCTGTGGGTTTATGAAAGCTGCTGAGTTTATACAGAGGTAAGAGCAGAATGGGAAAAACCTTCTAGAGGAGAGTTTTTAATGGTGGAATTTCTGGCCTTCCAAACAGGTGGTAGTACCCCGGCCGGTGTGGCTCAGTTGGGTTCAGTTCTCAGGCAGGGTATGTGCCCAGGTTGCAGGCTCAATCCCCAGTAGGGAGCATGCAGGAGACAGCTGATCAGTGTTTCTCACATTGATGTTCCTCTCTCCCTCTAAAAGTCAATAATAATTTTAAAATCTTTAAAAAAACACAAACAGTGGTAGAGATAAGCAGTAGAGTGGAAATAGCTTTGAGTGTAGTCCATTCCACCAACCAGCCATGTGATTTTAAGCAAGGCCCTTTGTTTTGTTTTGTTTTTAAATATATTTTATTGATTTTTTTTACAGAGAGGAGGAGAGAGGGATAGAGAGCTAGAAACGTCGATGAGAGAAACATTGACCAGCTGCCTCCAGCACACCCCCTACCAGGGATGTGCCCGCAACCAATGTACATTCCCTTGACCGGAATCGAACCTGGGACCTTTCAGTCCGCAGACCGACGTTCTACCATTGAGTCAAACCGGTTTCAGCGGCCCTTCATTTTTGCACTTCATTTTTCCTGGAAATAGAGCTTTCATAAGACCTCTTTCTACTCCAGAATTTTGTGTCCTTGAGATATACTGTATTAAAGAGTTCACTGGAGGAATGAAATGTAAGTTTTTATATTATAAAATGTTGGTTATAGAATAGTTAAACAAAACAAAGAAAGCAAAATCTTCAATAATCTCACCTCTTAGATATAACATTGTTAATTTTTTATTTGTTCTTTAGTCTTTTATTGTCTGTGTACTTTTTAAAAAATATATATTTTATTGATTTTTTTACAGAGAGGAAGAGAGAGGGATAGAGAGTTAGAAACATCGATGAGAGAGAAACATTGATCAGCTGCCTCCTGCACAACTCCTATTGGGGATGTGCCTGCAACCAAGGTACATGCCCTTGACCAGAATTGAACCCGGGACCCTTCTGTTCGTATGCCGACGCTCTATCCACTGAGCCAAATCGGTTAGGGCTGTCTGTGTACTTTTGAAAAATGCTTTTTATAATCTTTTTAAAGTAATGTGTCATAATTGTTCTTCCATCATAAACGTTCTACGAAATTGTGACAGCTACACAATATACCTGGTATTAATATAATATAACATAATACATTTCCTGTTTTCTCTATAATTAACATGTATTGCTTTTGTATTAAAAATTAGTAAAGGAGCCGAAACTGGTTTGGCTCAATGGATAGAGCGTCGGCCTGCAGACTGAAAGGTCCCAGGTTCGATTCTGGTCAAGGGCATGTACCTTGGTTGCGGGCACATCTACAGTAGGGGGTGTGCAGGAGGCAGCTGATCGATGCTTCTCTCTCATCGATGTTTCTAACTCTCTATCCCTCTCTCTTCCTCTCTGTAAAAACTCCATAAAATATATATATATTTTTTTAAATTAGTAAAGGAGCCTGGCCTGTGTGGCTCAGTGGTTGAGTGTAGACCTATGAACTGGAAGGTTACAGCACATGCTCAGGTTACAGGCTCAATCCCCAGTAGGGGACATGCAGAGGTAGCCAATCAATCCTTTCTCATCTTTGACTATATTTAAAAAATTTAGTAAAAAGAAAAATTTTAATTTTTTAAAAATTAAATTAGTAAAGGAGCCCTGACCTTCATGTCTCAATGGTTGGAGCATCAGCCAGTGCACCAAAGGGTCCATCCAATTCCTGGTCAATGGCACATACCTGGGTTGCAGGTTCGATCCCTGGTATGTTCTGGAGGCAGCCAATCTAAGTATCTCACATCGATGCCCCTCTCTCTCCCTCTCTCCCTCTCTCTCTCTCTCTCTCTCTCTCTCTCTCTCTCTCTCTCTCTCTCTCTCTTTCTCTCTCTCTCTCTCTCTTTCCCCTCTCTCCTCTCTCCCTCTCCCCCACTCTCTAGAATAGGGGTGTCGAACTCAATCAGAGAAGGGGCCAAAATCTAAAATCCAGCCTAAATCGCGGGCCGAATGGTTTACTGAACAGTCATAAACTGTCATTGTGATGGAAACGCAGCGGAGTGCAGTGATGACAGCGCGGTGCGGGCCACATTGCAAGGCCTGGTGGGACGGATTTGGCCCGCGGGCCTTGTGTTTGACACATGTGCTCTAGAACATCAATGGAAAATACCCTCTAGTGAGGATTAACAAAACAAAAAACAAACTTTTTTTTTTCTTTTAGTGAAGGAGGTCCTGGCCAATGTGGCTCAGTTGGTTGAGCATCATTCCATGCATAGAAAGATTGCTGGTTTTATTCCTGGTCAGCGTACATATCCAGGTTTCGGGTTCAGTCCTTGCCAGGATGCATATAGGAGGCAACCAATGTATTCAATATTTTCTCTCTCCATCTCCCTTCCTCTTTCTCTCTTAAAATTAGTAAAGGAGGTAAAAGCTAACGTAAATGTGAAATAATTGTGAATACCTTTAAAAATACCTAAATTCATTGGGCATATGTAATGCTAGTCCATTGGTTGCAACCTCATGGGATCTTTTCGACCTCGCGGCATTTGGGACCTGAGATGATTCTGGCACTAAGTTAGCTCGGTTTCCGTTTTCTAGGAAAGCTATTTTTGATACACCGGATGAGGATCCAAATTACAACCCACTCCCTGAGGAGCGACCAGGAGGCTTCGCCTGGGGCGAGGGCCAGCGCCTCGGCGGGTAAAGCAGCAGGGCCAACGACGAGACCCAGCCGGGAAGGACTCAAGACACACCCATTGGGATTCTTTTATCCTTTGTGTGGCGAAAGCGTGGACACTTTTGACAGCTTGACAGATTTTAACTCCAGAAGCACTTTATGAAATGGTACACTGATTGATCCAGAAGACATTTCCAGCAGTTTGCCGGTGGTTCCTCACTGCACTGGCACTGTAAGTGTAATCTCTCAGAGCCAAAAACTGGAGAAACATACCCTGCCGCCTCTGTGGAACAAGTACACGCGTGCTTGAGTTCTGTGGTGAAAGGCAGAGCTCTTTCCTCCTCCTCCTCTTTGATAGACGAGGCCATGGTGAAAATGGAAGTTTCAGAGAGGACAAAATAAAATGGAATTCCATCTCTCTCTCACTAATTAAAGCTTTTGTGTGTGATCTTTTACATGATGAGATTGTATTCCGGCTCTCCTGCGTGGGTCTGAGCTCAGAGCACAGTTCACATGCCCACTCTTCGTGTGTCTCCACAGCTGTCGACTGGATTTCATTTCAAGATTGGAAATATGCAGCTGATAATATGTGGCTGTATAATCATCTCACTAATTCAGAATGGCACCTCCAGTAGGAACATTTGTTTATGTTGTGCAGACAGTTTGTTCTCATCAGGGTTTTGCAAAACTTCCAAGTTGTCAGATGATTTAGATTAGAGTGGTTCCTTTTTTGTTTGTTTGTTTAAATCCTCACCTGAGGATATTTTCATTGATAGAAATTTCATTGATAGAAATGAGGATATTTTCATTGAGAGAAAGGGGAACATGGATGGGAGAGAGACAGACATGCATCAGTTGCCTCCAGTATACACCCCTACGGGGATTGAACAATAAAAAAAGGCATCCTATGCCTTTCAATGCATAGGATGATACTCTAACCAACTGAGCCACACTGGCCAGGGCAGTTGGATGGTTCTTATAACAGCAAAAATTCAGATGGTTCTTATAACAGCAAAAATTCAGTTATAGGCAGAAACTTAATATAGCATCTTATTTATTCTGCATTTCTCCATTAAGAAATCCAGGGAAAGACTCATTGCCACCTTTGTAAAGCCTCAGAAGGATCTTGAGACCCGGACAGAAAGTTATTATACAATGTTAACTTCAGAGCCAGATGAACAAGGTACCAGCTAGAAAGGGATGTATTTCTCCTGGGCCTTTGGCTAGTTAACATTTGCTATTTGCTTCATGAAAAGCTAAGAAGCTTTTCAGAGCCAAGTACCTGGTCTGTCTTCCAAACCAAGTAGAAATGAAGTTCCACAGAAATAGGAACTTCATGCCTAGGGTTCAGTAAATATCCAAAATGCTCACTTCCCTGGGTCTCAGCAGGTTTGTATCACATGCCCAAATAATTCAGGGAACCCTGAGGACTAAAAGAGCATCCCAAGAAATGAGATTATTTCATAATAGTTTTAATAAACACCACGTAGACACAGGACCTTTTCCAAGTAGTTGCAGACTGGTTCAGTGGTAGCTTTCTAGAGTGAGATTTTCCTCAAAGATGACGTTTCAGATTAAATGTAAACATTATAAATGGGAATTTTCAGATTTTGAAGTGAATAGTATTTTAATGTCTAAATGGAATGTGCATAAGGAATGGAATTTAAATATTTAAATGCTGCTAGTCGGTAACTGAATATGATTGTTGCAATTTTATAGAATGTAGGTTATGGGACTGCTTTTTTTCCTGCATGGTTTAAAAAAAATATTTAAATGCCAATCTTGCAATGCAGAATCATTATGGGACTTTTAAGTTATGTCTTTATTCAAGAAAGCTTGAATTGGATTAGAAGGGGTTTTTTTATTGTTTATTTTTTTTAATGAGTTTCTCTAGTTTTATTTGTTCTCCCTTAGTTAACTTTCAGTTATCCAATCTATGGGATTCTTGTGGTAAATTTTTAATCCTGAAATCTATTCCCTGAGATTATTTAAGTAGAGAATGTCTGTACATATTAATGACTGGGTAAAACTGGAAAACAATTTTGAATTGATGACCTACACGCAGTCAGTTATGGGATTTTTATTTCTCTGTAGTATGAGAATTCCCAGTGGCAGAATTCCGCTGTGGCAATGGTCACTTCAATCACTAGCCTCTTTCCAGTCTGGCCATTCCCACCACCACTATCCCTAGCCCTATTCTTCACCTCTTCTCTGACTTATCTCTCCGTCTCGATTCTTCCAGAACACCCTTCTTTTTTATAATGCAAATCAACTGAAAAATGAGATTCAGGGTATGGAATTTTGTGACCAATTTATCTAACATAATTTAAGGGATTCTTGAATTCAACCATTAATACTGATAAGCACACCTGCCTAAGGCATAGTTTTTTTGTTGTTGTAGAAAAACAATATATGTTTGTGGGGTGTGTGTGTGTGTGTGTTTTAAATGGGCATACAAATTGCATCTCCCTAGGAGATAACATTTTAAACGTTTTATATACGTTTTGGTGTGGGGTTTTGTTTTTTTTACTATGGATTTACATTTCCCTCTTCCACTTGTTCTTTTTCTATATCACTCTTATATGCTCTAATATCTTTCATAACCTCTTGTGTAGTAGTTCTAAGCAGAGAGCGCCCAAGTGTTGGATTCTGGTAATGAAGCCTCACTCTGTCCCTGGTGACTATGGGAATTAGGAAATATTGGAGGTATTGGCATGTTGCATAAAGGGCTTCCTAGAATTGTCATCCATCCTTGATTGCCTGCATTTTTATGTTGCGGCTGGGTTTTCCTTTGACAGTTGAGTGCCATCTGTGTTGTAGTCAAAAAATGCCATTGTTTCCAGTGTCCTATAGGATGTCCCCTAATCTATTTGCATATTATATGAATTCGCATGAAAGCTGGTGAGCTTTTTATGATCAAGTCATTTCTCTGCTCATAAATCCACAGTGACTTCTTAGCCCCCATATCAAATGCATACCTCTTGCCTTTCTCTGAATCTTACTCCTACTTCAACCTAACAGTTTAGTTTGGTCAGTCCTTCAAGGCCTGACCCCTTCCCGACTCCTCAAGAAATTTTGTCTCTAAGTCCCATTTCATTGTCTTTCTTCTTTGAATCCCTGTAAGCTTCAAGTCTACAATAGACTCTTACACGAAATTATATATATTTGTTGTACTATTTCTAGCTGGTACATGTTTTGTCACCCTCATGAGAATGTAAGCTCCTTAAGGGCAGGGACCATGTCTTAAATTTTTGTATCCACCCCAATGCCTGGCATAGTGCTTGGCACATGGGTGCTGAATAAATACTTTGTTTATTGATCAGCAGACTATTATCTGGTATTTTTAATTAAAGAGAGGTTAATGGCCCAGCCAATGTGGCTCAGTGGTTGAGCATTGACCTATGAATCAGCTGGTCACAGTTCATATGCCCAGGTTGCAGGCTTGATTTTCAGTATAGGGCAGCTGATCGATGTTTCTCTCCCTTGACCTTCCTCTCTCTCTCATATAAATACATTTTACATTTCTCTTATTTTTAAATCGCCACCCAAGGTTATTTTTCCATTGATTTTTAGAGAGAGTGGAAGGGAGGGGGAAGAGACAGAAATAGAAGCATTGATGTGAGAGAGACCCTTCTATTGGTTGCCTCCCACACAGCCTGATTAGGGACAGGGATCGAGCCTGCAACCAAGGTATGTGCCCTTTACCCAGATTGAACCTGGAACCCTTCAGTCTACAGGCCAATGCTCTATGGCTAGGGCGATAAAAACATTAAAAATAAAATGGACAGAGTTCACATGAAAATACTCATTTTTTTACTTTCCTTGAAAAGAATGGAAGGTCTGGCAATACCCAGCCTGCATGGCAGCTGTTGCCCAGAGGTCTTTAGTGGCTGCTTCTAGAGTCAGGGAATGTCCTCTATGAAGAGTAAATCATGCATATTACCTACCTGGACTCCTAATCATGTGGAGCACATGTCTCCTTCATTAGCTTACTCGGGAAAGCACACTGGGAAAAAGGACCGAGGTCTGTCTTTTACATACTCAAGGTCCATAATTTGAGTTAACATTCAATTATTAGTTATGGTTTGAATCTTTGTGCCTCCACCCCAAATTCATAGGTTGAAATCCTAATCCCCGATGTGATAGAATTAAGAGGTGGGGGCCTTTGGGAGGTACTTAAATCGTGAGGTAGATTCTTCATTAATGAGATTAATGCCTTATGTAAAAGCTCCAGAGATCCGTACCCCCTTCCTTCACCCGAGGATATAAGAAAGAAGCAGCAATGAAACAGGGAGAGGGCCCTCAACCAAAGGCAACCATCTGGCACCTTGATCTTGGAATCCAACCTCCAGAAATGAGCAATAATTTTCTGTTTGTAAACTACCTAATCTGTGGTATTTTGTTATAGCAGTTCTATTTGGTATTTTACCTTCCTCTTTAGTTTTGGGTTGTCTTTCTAAGTTTTTAAGGGCAAGAAGTGAAATTTTGTCAATTCTTAAACACATATTTGCTGTTAGTTCAACATGTACTTTTTCAGTAATCCCTGGTCACTATACTGTCACAACTAAAGGAAAATTGCCTCAGAACTAGAGGAAGGGGAAAGCGGAATTTTTAACAGGTTTACAAATATAAGGGTCATGGATATGAACTTAAGAGGATGCCTGAAATCCTTCATGTGGGTTGAAGCTTATGATGAATTCTTTTTATGTAATTTCCTGTATGCAGAGCAAATAGACTGCTTTCCAGTCTTTCTGTGTGAATTAGAAAATCGTCTAAGAGCTTTGAATTTAGGAGGTGATGGACAAGTGGAAACTACTTTCTCTTGCCTCAATTCTGAATCTTCATTGATTGGTGTTCGTGTGATGGGTGTTGGCAAGCACTGTAGAGAACTTCAAAGTCTGGCAGGAATATTTGGAGAAAAGGAGGGGAAAATACAATTTTAGTTCATTCTCCCTCTTTCCCTGCTTGTATTACAGGAACAGGCCACTCCATTTGGGATAGCCATTTTCTGAGTAGAATACAGAATTACTAGAAAATAAATAATGCTTTCCTTTTCTGAAACACAAGATGATCACGAGTATCCTTTTCAACATTCTGATTTTTTTTTTCTTTTACATCTGAATGACTTTAATCTCGGAGGCTCAGTTTCTTGTCTGTAAATTGGGGACTAATAGTATTAAATTGCTTAGAGGATTAAGTAATTGCAAATGTTTGCGTTCCTCATTATTATTATTATTATTTTAATTAAGCACTTTCGCCGAAACCGGTTTGGCTCAGTAGATAGAGCGCCGGCCTGCGGACTGAAAGGTCCCGGGTTCGATTCAGGTCAGGGGCATGTACCTTGGTTGCGGGCACATCCCCACTAGGGGGTGTGCAAGAAGCAGCTGGTCGATGGTTCTCTCTAATCAATGTTTCTGACTCTATCCCTCTCTTTTCCTCTCTAAAAAATCAATAAGATATATTAAAAATAAAATTAAGCACTTTCCTTGAAAAGCGAGTATTGTGAGAGGAGAAGGAAACGCGTGTTTACTAGAATTATGGTAGTATTACCAGTATAATAAAGCTGGAATACCGCTTTACTAGCCAGGGAAGGTTAAGGTCCCGAGGAACCTTACACCCCGTCTTTCGCTGTGGTCGCTCCGGACCCTTTTCTTGTTGTACCGCGGATGCCGTTCTCCTCGCCCCCAGGAAGTGAAAGCCTTCCCAAGCTCCCAGTGCATGCTGGGAGTTGCAGTCCCCTTCCTAAAGGCGAAAGGCGGCGGTGCTGTCTCCGTCGGTCTCCGGGAGTGGCTAGCACGTGGCTGGAAGGGGGGGCGCGTGCTGGCACCGGGAGCTGCGAGCTGTCAGCCCTCGCTCCTCCGGCCTCTGCGCCCTCCCGACATGCCCGAGGAGGCGGGCTTCCCGCCGCCTAAGAGATTCCGGCCGGGCCTTGGGCCTCCGAGCCACGACGGGAGGCGAGTGGTAATGCTGAGTGCGGGAGGCAGCGGCAGCGGAGGAGGAGGAGGAGGAGGCGGAGGAAGCCGGCGGCGGCAGCCGCCCCTGGCCCAGCCCTCGACCAGCCCCTACCCCGAGGCCGTGGAGCTGCAGCGCCGGAGTCTGCCCATCTTCCAGGCGCGGGGGCAGCTGCTGGCCCAGCTCCGAACCCTGGACAGCGCCATCCTCATCGGTGAGCGGCCGCGCGGCCAAGTCCTTCCTTGTTCTCCGTTCCTGGCGCTGCGAGCACAGGCTTTCTTAGGTGCTTGTCACCCTCTTCGGTTTGTCTCTGCCACAAACTTAACCGCCTTTTCGGTGCCAGGCCGGGAGAGGGGCCTCGGGGGAGTCTGACAGCCCTGCCCCGGGGGTGCTCACGGCCCGGGGGGAGTGACCGAGTTGTTATGCAAAGACCGTCACCTTCCGAGTGGACGGGTGGAGGGGCCCCGGGGACTCTGGGCAGTTTGAAGGGTGCATCTGAGCCAGACTGGGGGGAGGTGGTCCCCAAGGGGGACAGCTTCGTGAGAGGCGAATGGAGGCGAGAAACAGTCCGGTGGGTCTGACGGGGAGTAGCAGTTTCCGGTGCACGAACCGAAAGGCAGAGTTGTGAATTGGGGACCGATTACAAGGAGCTTTGATCCCCAACCTTTAAGTCCAAGGAGCTTCTGAAAGACCGAGAGGATGAGCCTCCAAACAGTGAAAGGAGACCCAGAAGGGGCTACCTGTAGTTAAAGGAATAGAGGGATAAGAAGCAGGAAGCCCTGGCCGGTTTGTTCTGTGTTAACAGCATCGGCTGCGGACTGAAGGGTCTCGGTCTCGGAGGTTGGATTCTGGTCAAGGGCATGTACCTCGGTTGCAGGCTGGATCCCCACCAGGGGCGCCTGCGGGAGGCAACTATGCGTCTCTCACATAAGCTGTTTCTGTCTCTGTCTTTCCCCTTCCTTCCACTCTCTAAAAATCACTGGGGATTATATATATGATGTGGATTAACAAAGAGGAGGGGGCATAAACAGATGCAGCAATGAGGTCCAATAATATGTGGACCCCAAAAATGCCCCCTGGATTTGAATTGATTGTGGACCCACTGTGCGCTATTTCAGACAAGTTGTGGGGTAGGAGCTGATTAGTCATTGGTGAGGGAATGAAGGCAATAGGAGCTGGCCTCTCTTTTGAGGAAAAAAGGGGCTGAGAGGAACTTGCAAGTCTGTATTAATAGGCTGAGCAGAACTCAGAGAGAGGGAGGCTGAAGATGGAAAGCCGGTACTAACAGAGCTGGCCCCCCGGGGTTAATGGGAAGGGGAGGGGGCATTTGACAACAGGAGCTAGAAGCAGAATTGGCCTTCAATACAATGAAAGATGTCCAAGAGGCTTCGGGCTGGAGAAAGGAGGTGAGTATGGGTGTGACTACAGAAAAGCTTCCAGGGGGAGGGAGAGGGAGGTCACCTTTGAGGTTTCTTTTTCTATGAAATAGGCACAGGAACTCTGCTGAGAATGGGAGTCTCAGGGCCTTGAGTGGGCTCTTAGGGAGGATGAGGACAGAGGACAGAATGCAAAAATAAGAAAAGGATCGAGCCCTAGTCGGCTTGGCTCGGTGAATCAGCCTGTGGACACATGCCTGGATTGTGGGCTCCATCTCCAGTAGGGGGCATGCAGGAGGCAGCCGATCAACGATTCTCTCTCATCATTGATGTTTCTCTCTCTCTCTCCTCCCTTCCTCTATGAAATCAATGAAGAAATATATTTAAGCCGAAACCGGATTGGCTCAATGGATAGAGCGTCGGCTTGGGGACTGAAAGGTCCCGGGTTCGATTCCGGTCAAGGGCATGTACCTTGGTTGCAGGCATATCCCCA